GTCCTTTACATGTAGATAATACTCTATGTGTCATTGATCTATTCCCTTACTGCATCTGTACAAACATGCATTCACTTACTTCAAATTAAGCTGACATGAAAAAAAAAAAAAACTGTCAAATGGTTTGGTGACAGCAGATAATTCTTGATAAAATTGGCTTAATTGGTAATTTACTGGGTGATTTACCCATGAAGCCCAATAAAATGACAAGAGGGGAAGAGTTTTATTGGCAAAAGGCTGAATGAGTGACATGTTCTCAGTGCTTTAACGTACAATCTGCCGTCATCTGTTTTATTTTGATGAGAAAATGGACAGCATTGGTCCTGGCTTTATCACCTTCTCAAATAGCATGACATATAAAACTGATGAATCTTGCCAAAACCGAAACCAGTGGGGAGCAGAGCAATTAAAACACATGCTGTCCTAATATGATTATGAGGAAACCTCCTTTTTTTCTGATTATACTGTGAGAAAAACTAAAAAACCCCTATGAGATGGCATGTGGGAGGGAGTTTCATTGGTAAAAGGTTGTGTCTGTGTCTTGCTGTGTCTTCTGTATTTTAACGTACCATTGGCTGTGAGCTGCTAAATATATTGAATTTGGAGAGAAAATGGACAGCTTTCATCCAAGGTAGGGCTGAATTTGGCAGCTTTATCACTTCCTCAAACAGCATGAGATATAAAACTGAGGAAGCTTGCCAAAACTGAAACCAGTGGGGAGCAGAGCAATCCACAAGATACCAAAACATTGTTCCAAAATTGAACTATAAAAAGGACTGCCAAACATAGTATTTTCTCAATTCCAGCTCTTCTTCCATTTGATTTAAAGTGTGTAGAAACATTCATATTTATGGTATTGGGACTGTCCAGGTTAGGGAGAAAAAATCCAATAGTGGGAAAGAAGAAAAGAAAAACGTGAAAGGATGATGAAGGAGATAGCAGGGAGGACAGAGGGGGGTAAGAAGCAAGTGATCTGACCCAGTTAGACAGCAAAAGAGAAATATGAAGCGAGAGAGAGAGGGGATATGATAGAATTGTGTGCCAGCTTCACCACTGTGGTTGGGGACCTGCTGGGCCATCTGGCAGCTCTGTAATTGGGTTGGGGTTTTACACCTGAGAGGCACACCTCTACAGAGATGGTTGGGGGAAAAAAGCTGATGATTGTATTTTGCAGTGTATCTTGAACCAAAACACTGACAACAATCAAATCAAATGATTTGGATATTTTGCTCGATTGATATCCTAGTGTGATTCCTAAATCTATATTTGACTTCCTGGTAGCTGGTTCATCTATAGGACACAGATCTTTAAAAGTAATCTCATCTGATCAGATTTTGGCTTTTGAATTGGAACAGATCTTAAGAATGTGTTGGTCCAAACTTTTTAACAGATTTGGAATACCTTCCTTTAATAAATATGGATTTTCTCAATCCTGAGAGGTGGGAAAAAGCCTTAATTGCAATAAAGATATAGTGTTATACTTGTCATTGGAGTGAGAAAGACACTCTGTAAGTGAGAGAGGAAATTGAAGCAAACATTATTTAAAGCTTTCTTCCATGAGGGCCACATAGGCAGAAATTAACTCAGTGTTGCAGTGCATATACATGAATATTACATATTGTTGAAGGCCCTTGAAGAGTAGAAAAGGTCAGCACCGCTCTTAGTGTTTCACACAGATAAGTGAGGCTTGATCCACTCTAAAAGAAACGAGCTCTTCAAGTGGATCACCTGCTGCGAGGCCCCACAGATGGTGAGGCCAATGCAGAAGTTGTCATCTTAGGCGTGAAGGGACAAGTAGTCATTAAGGTGCAAATATGAGCTGATTTAATGTTTCAGTTTTTGCAAGTGAGGTGAGTCCCAGTTTGTGAAGAATAACAGACTCCAGGGGTGGTTTTCTACTCCTACAGTGCTCACTTTTTGTTTGACATTTTTGCAGAGATAACAAAGCAGAACATTGCCCTGAGTCCAAAGGAAGATTTTTTTGATATAAAAGAAGCTTTATACCATTCAGAAGCATGTCTCATTCAGCATACATTTGAAAGGTCTCATATCGTATTCATTCAAATGGCTCTGAATTCTTAAGGGTAATTATTGTCTTTTCAAGATGTTTTTTTCCTACATATTACACATCCTTTTACAAGCATGGGAACACATTATGTTTGCGATTCAACCCTCCCCATCGACTTACTTGTGAAATATCGAATGAAAAACCTTCATGCCCCCCACCCTCAGTGCATGGTAAATTCTTTTTCTACACAAGAAGCCTCCCACATGCTCTCTGTGGAGCGTCATTGTGCTCCCTAAAAGTCCTCGCCCCTGCTGAAGTATCTCTGTCACTGCAAAGCGTGCCTCTCAATGGCTCAGCCCCCACACTAACCTTGCAGCGTTTCAAAGGGAGACCAAAGGGAGGCTGAGCGAACATGGACACGCGTAGGCGACCACTCAACAAAGGGGGAGGGCGAGAGGGCTGAGGCATCCAATGGCTGCTTTGTTCACTGCAAGGGAAGGTTCATTGCCACTCTTTACCTGGAGTTAAAACATCTTAAATGACTCATTTTTTTCTTGATTCAGATGTAAGTTTAGTTTTTGTAAACCAGGTACTGAAGCTTTCTCGCCTCTGAAAGTATATTCTGCTGCAGCATGTCTTGAAAATATTTAAAGGTGACAGACAAAGATGTTGTTAAGCAAGTGTTAGCGAAGTGTTAAAATCACAACTGCAGTGTGCAGTGATATCAAGCTTTCACAGTAGGTTGGCTAGCAGCAGCTGGGAAACATGTAATGATTGTGAATACCGCCTCATGCTACCAGAATTTAGTTTGTGCGCCAAGTTCAGTCAGTGTTGAAGTCTCAGTACGGACCACAATATGGAAACTGGTCTGGTTACTGATGACCTGCAGTGCCAGTTATCTTCTCAAATAATTGTGGACGTGTTTGCTTTCCACTATTCAGCTCAACCTGCTTGATTCTGTCAGCTCGGATGTTAATTGTCCGAGCTTTCCGTTTGCTTTTGCTTCTGCTGGCCGGTTTAATTGGCCGTTACTGCAACATGGTTACTGTTAGCATGGTGGGAGAACATCTGCAGCAGTCCATGCTTCTAACTTTCTCCGAAGTGGTGGGTTTAGATCCATGTTTATTCATGTTAAACACAACCTTACAGATCTTTGTTGTCTGAAACTGAGAGTAAAATTAGGAGGCTTCACCTCTTCTTGTCTCCGTCTTTAACCTTTAAATAAATGGAAGATGATACCTCAATACAGATTGATGTATGCAATGGTGAATCAGACAAATGCACTCTGATTGCAAGAACTCGCAGACTGTGGTTGTTTCCGGCATCATTTCCAACAGTAGCAGGGATGAGGAAGCGTAAGCCTGAATCCTTCAGCGAGAAATGCTTGAAGAGTGCCAAGAACAATAAATGATCTTCTGCTCCCCAAACAACTACAGTCAAAGATGAGTAAACAAAAGAATATTGGTCTACACCACTGTTCAATTGAAGCTGCACAATGGCAGCCAGCACATCATAGTTGTTTGATTTTTCCAATTGTATTGAATCTGATGTTCTGGACTACATCAGCGTTACACTCACAGAAAGTGTCCAGATACATTTAAAGTGTGTCTGAGGAGCAGAAACATTGAGAAGACACTTTGTATCTCTGCCGTGATTCAGACTAAATTGCCTGCTGATTTTTCAAACCCAATTTTATACAGTCAAAGAAACATGAATTGGATTTCAGCACTCTGAAGCTTTTTTTCCCCCCCTTCATGTTTTTCAGCTCATATCAGGATCGAATTGCCACAAGTTTTTTTTTCTGAGATTTGAAGCAGAGATCATTCGAGGCCGTTCTGCGGGCTACGTTCAGATTTTTTAAATCACTTACAAACCTTTTAAAGCCTTTCTGTTTGCACCACTGCACTGCCCTTTATGAAACAACACTATACATGGGCAAAATGAGTTTAATGAGCACTGTGGTGCAGCAAAGAAGGAGAATCAGGTCATCAACCTTCACTGTGTGCTTCAACTCTCTCCAACTATAGCAGCTATTTACCTCCCTGATTGCTATGGGGACACATTACAACCTGCACACAACGTTTGAACAATAAATACTTCCTGTTTGCAGCAGGCTTGTCACAGAGTTAAAGCTCTGCCCAACAGCGTTAAATCATGATACTAAGAAACAATAGAAACCAAGTCCGTTTCGTATTTTGTCTCATCACAAGTCTTAAAGAACAACATGACGAAAACATTGGATCTCAATGATATAATATCAACATTGGTCTCCAAATATCCTGCACATTGTTTTATGCATGAAAAGTCATACATGACCTAACAACTATTGGTTTGTTCTCCATCCAACAACAAAAACTAAACAAGTGGAAGCAACAGTTACTCAGTCCAATTTCCTGTTCAATCTATGAAGTGTATATTTTGGTACTTTTTACACAGTACTGCACATGTATAGACACAAGAGTGTGTCCAAACAAACAGGTCAAACAAACTACACAAAGCACATGTTCACATATGTGATACATTGTTTCCTTCTTCCCCTCCACACAAAGGAGTAAATGTAAAGTAAACACACCTGTTGTCAACAAAGAGAAGATAGCGGACGAGTAATCATCTCTGTACATTACATACTGTGCCGTGGGATGACTTGTAAAAGCACATCATTTCAATTACACCAGTGGCAGTGCTGAGATTTACTGCCTCAGAGTCATAAATAATCATTTTATCTGGGCTCAGTAATGCTAATCTAGAGTTTAAGCAACGAGTGAGTAGCTTTGTTCTGAATTTAGCGTGCTGGTCGATTCATCATGGACCCCAGCTGATGTTTACCCAGGCTGAGCCAGCAGCTGCTCGCACACTCTGTGACGGCTCAGCCATCTGAGGAGGCGAGCGTGCTGCTGACTCTGACATGCATCTGTCACAGCAGCAACAAAAGACACAAAATCTAACCCTCTCTGTTTCCTCTTTCTCTCTTTTTTTTTTCCCACTCGTCCAGCATCTGCCAGGCTTCCCAGCGTCGCCATTATGACTGAGAGTCGAAGGGAAGCATTGGCGGCAGTGCCGCCTGGGCCCACCAGCGCCTCATCATCCACGGCTGGCTCCAACACCACCAACATGGCTGGCCCGGGCGATAAAGATGAGAATTTTTCCAAGCTTAAGGACAAGTTCATGAACGAGCTAAACAAAATCCCACGTAAGTGTGTCAACTTTCTATAGTACAAGAGTTGGAGAGTATTTTTTTGATCGTCCACTTTCTATTGAGTTATTAGGTATTGAAAATATTAAAATATTTAAAAGTGGGACACTTTAACAGAACTTCCTTCCAACAAAACATATACTTTGGAACAACTTGCAAAACCACTTGTGAAATAGAATTAGTACAGTACAATGACATTAGTTGTAGTTTCAGTAATGAATAAAGCATTGTCTGATTGGATGATCTCCAAATCTAAAAAGTAATTGGTTGGGACAGTGTTTTAACAATCCAACACGTCCATGGGGATAAAAACCTGGTAATCCTTTGTAAAAAAAAATCAATTAGATGTACCTCAATTTCAAATATTGAATATTTCAAAAACACCTAAAATATAGAAAAACACCAGTGTGCAGCTGTGACCTCTTCAGTCAATGTTGATTTTCAGTTTCTTAACAGCTACATGTGATGTGTCTATAATTGCCCTCCATCTGGTTCAAAATGAACCCATCACAGATGAACCCATTCAGTGCTTTCAACGTGATTCTAGTGTAAGTGTGATTCAAAAATGACTCAACAGTGAATATGAGTGAACTTTGGTGTATGACGCAGAAGAAGAAACGCCAGTGTTAGCCATGACCTCTGACAAAGATTTCATATGAATCAGGTGAACAACGTCTCTGCTGCCTCTCTCATTTTGTGTCTTTCAGTACAAAAAAAAACAAAAACAGAGTGAACGGCTCAGATGGAAATGTCTCACTGAATTATCTCATGACAGAAGTAATCACATTTGAAGTGGAGAATAAACATCTGGCAACAATAATTCATGTGTTTGACACGATAAATTGCTAAATTATGTGTGACTGGCTTTAATTATTTTCAGTTAGATTTTCTGTTTTTCTGTCTTATTCGGTCAAAGCGGTCTCTTCATTTTCACATAATTCAACTACTCCTGCAGTTTTATCACCAAACTTCAAACTAAATCCTCTCATTTCAAATGTTATTACCTGGAGAAGTTAACAGTTTATGCACATAGAACAATGGTTGCAATGGATCAAGGACAAAGGACTTCTAGGAAATCCAAGATCAATGAACTTGTTTAATACAAAACAACCATTATCCATTTACAGTACTTATATTCCTTATTTTCCTCGAATGCAGCAATTATTTCCAAAGACCCTTTTGTAGCACTTAAAGGAAAGTTATAATCCTATCTGGATTTCTTAATCACGCCTAGATGCAGAGGGGGTGAATGAAATGAATCAACAGGTTTCAGTTTTGAGATTTCAATATTGGAGCTTTGTGGTTGATGTTCCCTTTGGCTTTGCATTGAATGTCTGTCATTAAAATGTATTGCTATTCCTGCCTCGCCCAGGTCGACAGCTTTTCGCATTGTTTTCAGAAGAAAAGCAGTCGATTTTTTTATTGCTTCCAACTTTTTGAAATTGCATCACAGAGCAGAGCTAAATTAGAGCTTGCTTTGTTTCCATAGGCAGAGACGTTTTCTGAGAGCCTCCTTTAAAAACAGGCCTGTCAGTTATTTACAGAATTTCTAAATTATTGTTTTCTCACCCAATCCCCTCAATCAGAAGCCATGAGTTTGCTCCTCGGCGCTGCCAAGCTGGTGATGAATGCCCAGAGACTTGTTTACTCCGTGGAATATCGATACTGTCTGGAGAAAGTCAGGTTGCAGATTTAACAAGGGAATATGCGAGCAGAGAAGCTGAATGCTCAGCGCTGCCTCTGTTATGCCGAACTGCAGAAGTTTTCTTCTGGGTTTAATGACCCAGTTGAAGCTCTGCTGGCTCTGAGGTGGTCACATGGGGCTTTCACAGTGACCTGTTGCTGAATTTCTGTCTGTCAGGATCTGCAGGACTCATCCCTGAGTGAGTGGATATTTGGTCGACACCATCTGTCTGCTGATGGCTCAAGCAAGCAGGAAGCAGCTGACTTTATGTCAATCTTTTTGGATTTTTCTTGGCTTGCTTTTTTATTGCAGCTTTCCTAAACAAGTTAACCAAAATATTTACATCCAGATTTACTACATAATCTGTGCCCTGCTTTTTCTTTTTTGGTGAGATTGATTCATACAGGTTTTTTGTTTTTTTGTTTTTCATAACTGATGTGCTGCAGGGCTGCAACTAACAAAAATAAGTTATGATAATTCATTCTCAGGAGTGTTATTTTTTTAATTAATATGCTAATTGTTGGTCTTAAATGTCAGAAAAAGTTGATAATGAGCATCACGAATTCCCAGTGCTACAGGGGATGTCTGCTATTTGCTTGTTTTGTCTGACCAACAGTAGAAATTTAATTACAAAGATTAAAAACCAAGAAAAGTTCCAAATAACACCAGATACAACAGTGTAAAATCACACAAACCATACATGCACAGTTGAAAATGGGAAAATCAACCCCCTAGGAACTGAAGATTGAATTCAGACGGGAAAAAGTAATAATTGAAATTGATCAGCCTGATTGTGTCACTTAAAATGTGTTTTTAGTGTTTTTTTCTGAAATGAAAAATAAGCTTTTTCATCATTCTGAGCATTCCACTTCAATATAAAGATGAAAACTCACGTCCCAACACACACACACACACTGAGGTCTGACTGTGTAATCGCACTAAACCATATTGTGCCTTCTCATTGAGCAGCAATGCTGCCTCCAAGGAAACTAGCGTATTGAATTTCTTGGTAAGTTTTCTAAACACTCAAGGCTTCGCTTCCCGATAACAATTAACCTCTGAACATGGAGGCTATTTGATCCATGACTGCTGGCTCCAGCAGCCATTACTTCAAATAACACAGAAACAGAGATTGACATTTGAGAAAAATAAATAATGGTGTTTCTCTTTTATCAGGGTATTGATGCTTTCAGGCAGCAAAAGGCTGAATCAATCACTTATAAGCCCTAAAAGTCTTGATTTTATTTATTCTCTTAAATCTTTATTTCACAACAATTAGAATATCTAGTATACCTCAAATTCTAAATACCTTGTGTAAGCCATGTGTTTTTTTTGTCCCTTCAATTGAGCAATCTTTCATATGTTTCTATCTTTAAGCTGAAAACATCTCAAACTTGCGCAGTTCTACTTTTTAGAGTTAAAATTCTTTTGGGACTAACTGACATCATCTTTCACTTTTTTGCTGACTGAAAAACATGTCATGCAGCTGATGGGTTGAAGCTATAAATATAGAAAATAAAATCATTTGAAAGACTGTGGTGTCACCTCAGACCAACCTTAAGGGGAAAAAAAAACAAAAAGATGTGTCAGAGTTTAAACGTGTCTCAACTTGTTTGACTTTGAGGCTTCTCACAGTCGACAGACAGCAGAGTTTATTATAGGGGATTACGATGGTGGCTCAGAAGAGCTATTCATCTCTGCTCGCCTGCTGCTCTGGCGACAAGCTTTGTCGTCAACTCTCTGCCCTTGCTTTTTCAAAAAGTTACTGCCTGCCATAAGACACCATCAGAGGGCTGGTCTAAACCTAATGTTGGCTTCAGTTCTGCACAACGCAGAAGACGGGGCTCAGCCAACTTGTAGTGACAACCAGTGCTCGATATCTCATCATTATCTATAGCTCATGTCATTATCACATTGTGATATAAATCCACCGCATTCACTGTTGATAAAGTACCTCTTCAACTCGTAAGACTTCCTGCATGTGCAGTGTGTTGAAAGTGCAACTCTTTCTATGTTAATCCAAATAACGGAGCAGACTCAATGGAAATATTTCATTTAACCAAACCCCAAAGAAAGGTAACTGCCCATTCCTGATTAGATCTTGTTTGGTATTAAAGAACCGACTCTGGAGGAAGTTTTCATTAGCTTTCAGTAAATGCTCAGTATTTATAGTTTCAGGAAGGTGTTTGATGCTCCCTGCTGCAGTCGTACTGTTTGCTTAAATAAACCACAGCAGGGAAAGGGCGCGGACGGAGTGTTGCTCTCGTAAGCATAACAAGATATAATGTCAAGGTTAATTGACCAACAGAGTCCTGTCACATTAGATTAGTGTGGGCTGCTGGAAGTGGATATAAACCAGATGCTATATTAAACACACACGCACCCACTGTCATTTAAAATGTTCCCACCAAACTCTATTCCGTTGATAAAAGCTTTCTGTCTAATGTAAAGTGCGATGTTTTATCAGTGATGTAGAGGAGGAAAAATGCGACGGAAATCCTTTTAAATACAGAATTGAGTCAGAGCAGGGACGTATCATGGGACTGGTTTTGATCTGTATGACATAATTTTAATTCTTTGTCACTGTAAGAGGTTCAATTTATGATACTTTTTAACATGATAGGACAGTAAAAACAAGTCGAATGAAGAAAAAGACCAGCATTATGTCATACATTTTAGACTATATACAGGATAAAGGGCAGAAAATGTTAGCCAATGAAACTTGGCTCCCTGTTACACTCTGAGGTTGCTGCTCTTCGAACTCCTTCTCAGCTCAAAAGTGAAATCTGATAAGCTCTTCTCGGGAACTCAGAACTGTGCTACATCACAGCTAGAATCACTTGAGCTGAGGTTTTGCAGCAAAGTATGTTTCCTCTTCAACTGGAGCAAAATAGATCCGTCATTCAAAACTTTATAATGTCATAACTTAGTTCTTGTTGTGGGCATTGATATAATGCTGTGTTAGGTCTTCTCTATTGAACACTCTCCTTCCCTTTACGTTGTTCTTCTTCACAGCATGCTTCCAAATCTCTTTGATGCTGATAGGAAGCGCATCTTAGATTTTCCTACAAAGCTGTTTTTCCAGAGATTTTCCGTCATGCTTTTTATTTTCTATCCGATGCCCTATAAGAATTTGAAGCTAGATTTTCCTTACTCAGTGAAATTAAAACAAACTAAATGAACCTCCTTCCACACATTGAATATTCGATTTGGTCTACATGGCATTTGCAGAAACTCCAAAATCACATATCACATATTTGCCATTGAAGGCTACCTGTTCAGCAAAATCGAAAAAAAGCTCTAAAAAGTCCAGAAGTTGTATAAGCAAAGACAGAAAGAATGATTGCACACAGAGCAATATATTTCAATCCCAGTGTCTTAAGTACTTTGAAGGTTTCTCATTGTTTAGTGCCCTGCTTTTCCACCAGGCCGTGCCATTTCGATAACAGTGCTGAAATGTGATTTGAGCCTTGAAGAACAGCAAACATGGATTCCATCATGGGCGACCCACCCATTAGAGAAACTCCATTTTCCATGCCATGTCGCTCGGCTGAACAGCAGATAAGTGCTGGCAGTTGAAGTGGAGTGGCAAGCTGGCAATACTCGCTCCTGCTCTCCCTTTCACTTTCTCGCTCTATTTCTCTCAAGAAACGACAGTCACACAATGTTGTTAATTAGGGGATGCTTTTATTGCTTTCTGGGACTCAGGTTCCTTTAATTAAGGAACACAGAAGTGCCTTTCACTGGAAGATGCTCGCTTGATGAATAAGATAAGAGCTCGGTTCATGGATTGATTTCCACTGTAACTGTCTGAATGGAATTCCATGAGGAAAGCTGCAGAGTGACATAAGCAGTTTGGGTTATGAAAGAGCGCTTTTACAGTGTATTTAATCTTACCTCTATTCATCAAACCTTCCAGTTGGAGAGGAAATATATATGTTCTATATAAAAACCATTCTGAAGTTTCTGCTGAGAGGTGATTGCTTATCACGTTGGTTTGCCAGCTTCAAATACAAACCTATCACGTCTCAGAAAATTCCATTAAAATATAATGTGTAAGGTGAAAACAGAGTTTACACTAGACTTTATTTTGACAGCCAATTTGGCCGGTAACATCACAGAATGCCGGCCATATAGAACAATTACCAGACGTATGCTTTGAATAGCCGTATTTGCTTAACAACCTACATTTCAACAGCGATAAAAACCCACCTAAACCCACATTCATTTTCATGCAACAATTAGATGTCTGTATATAGCACCACAACTCCACCTGACGCAAATCACAGCGCAATGGGCAGCAAGCTTCAAGGCTTCTTAAGGAGAATGCAATCACAACATGCAACAGCACAATTTTCTGTCATCATAAAAGAAACAACTCAGCAGACGGAGTAATGCCCACCACAAGCAGACGGCAAAATAGCATAAAAATAATAGAGCTGATATGCACTTTTAACAGTGGAGGCAAAATCAAGCTGTTTTATCCAACACAAATTGTGTTTCTCACAGAATGATGCTGTACCTGTGCAGCAATGAGGGAAGTGTGTTCACAGAATCATTTTAGAAACTGCCCTACATGATCCTATTCATAATAGGTGATGTTATACTAACTGTAGGATAGTTTAAATAGTAATTCTGCTTTTGTCTCCAACCTATTTTAGTGTTTGTTCACAGACTACTTGAGTCTGATCACCTTTTCCCCTTCACACACACCTGCACCTCTTTCTCTAAATGCAGCGGTTTGATCTGCTTTGTCTCTTTCCATTTCCCCATCGCCTGTTTTTTGTTGTTTTGACTGTAGCCTATTCATCCAGTAGCACATTTTAGAACGACGCCCAATTCACTCCACTCGCGTTTTAAAATGTTCCGTTCATATTCCGTTCTGATAACAGGCGATTGACGAGGAGGTTTGTTTGTGGCGCAGCGTAATGCAACGGTCCAAAGTGCAGAGAAGCATGGCCACCACTGTTAAAACAACAGCATACGAAGGATCATCTTTAATATGACACCTCGCTCACCGCTCGATGACTCGCAAACGTCTCTTTTCAACCACTCTTCACAAAAGACTCTTTTCATGTATCTAATGTATGAATGCAGTAAATACTACCTAACCCACAGTTTACCCCCCCCCCCTATAGGTTCACATTTCTAAAAGGAAATTCAGTCCGTTCAGGGTGTCTCATAGTAAACAAGTCCCATCCAGTGTCACCTCCATTACCACACGGCCTCCGAGGCAAGGCCAAAGCTGTAGATCCTAAAGTTATTTTAGAACATCACTCACTGTTTTTCCTTGGAGGAGAGTGCTTATTGATTTTGTCAACAGAGCATCGATTTTTCTCCCTCCCTTTCTCTCTCTCCCTTCTCTCGGCCCTTGGCGAAAGAAACCACAGCCGAATGCTGGTCAGCAAAGCCCCAAAGTGATGGACTGTAATATACTTTTCTGTTTTGATGGGTATTTTTGGAGTTTGTCAGATAAAGTCTTCAGAGGGCTGGAGTTTGACCTGGTTTATGTTATCTATCATACTTTTGGATTTATGACGGCTATTGAGATCATTCCTAAGATGACCCAGACCTTTTTGGTCGCCTCTCGAAGTGACAAAAACAAAAACCTGCTCAAAAATAGGCTGGTTTGTTGTTCCACTCTTTTAAAATTAGGGGTGTGCTGCCAGATGTTTGGGGGCATCAGGGTAGAATAAACGAGCAACGATTATGACTGCTGAAGTGAGAAGTCTGTTGCAAGGTTTCTCATTATTTTCAGCCCATCTGGACTTGATTTTATCTCTCAGTGGTACCTAAGTAACCCCCACTTCCTCTGCTTCCACAGTATGCACTGGGGCACAGCAGCCGACTGTAGTTGAGAGAGGTGTCACTGTGTTTGCACACAGCTGTTAGAGCTGTCACTGCATTGTGGAGCTGAGTGTCTGTTTGACAGTCTGTCGGTGACAGAGTTGACTTCCAGTTGTTCAATTGCTCTTCTCAAGTCTATGAAGTCCGGCAACAACATACGGTGGAGGAAACTCATGTCGGTTAAAAAAAAACTCTCCTTTTTCAGGTTGGATAACCACAAAAACGTAGCTGAGCAAAGTATGATTCATTCATCCTTAACAAAGAACATCTTTGAAGGCGTTCCAAACAACCCAAACAGGTCTATAATAACAAACATGTCCAGTTATATTAGTTAAAATATTACTGCCTATATAAAATCTCCTTTGTGTGTTATTTCTTAAAAACTGGCTGTAAAATCCCCCATACCATTGTTAAAGATCTCTATCCTGTGTATCGGTAATATGTACCGCATTAATCTGAGATTAATTAGATTAATTTTTATTTGGTCATCCATCCATTCGTCCATCCATGATATGCTTTTAATGGGTACAGATTATGTTTAATGATGAATTAATGATCTAATCGTTATTATTCTAACATACAGAGGAAGTCTGACAAAGTGTGTATAAATGTCAATAAATACATGTACCATGATGATGACACATTCAAACTCATTTTCATGTTAACTCTTTTCCATTTCATGTCATTCTTCCCTTCTGGCTGGAATGGTTTTACAGTGAAACTGGTAATAAATTGTATTGATGTCAGAATTATTAAGAAGTGGAAATAAATCCAGTTATCCACCAATACTTTGAGGAAAGCTTTTGTTCCCAGATAAGAAACCGAACTCCTCTTTCTTACTTGTTGCCTTTAAAATGAATATACTTGCGTTGTTGTTGGTCTGTAAACAGCTGGTTGAATCCACATATATTAAGCTGCTGTGTCTGCGGTGATACTCTGAGGAATTCAATTCAAGGTCAAACTTTCCAAAGTAGGAAACACATCATAGACTGAATCATGCCACCTTAACACAAGCAACTGAATAAAGAATCAAATGGAAGTTTTCTAAAGTGCCGTTGGCATAAACACAACGAAGTAAAATGACATTGCCCAAAGTTAAAGAAGACTTCTTGTCGGGAACTTTTTTGTTTCAAGACTGGCTCTCTCTTTTAAAGTTCATCCACAGCGTTATTTTTTTAGGTTCTTGTCTTTGCGTAAAGGTTAGAAAATGAAAAGCTCTGTTGAGTTTGATGGCTTCATTTTCGTAACCGAAAAAAAAAAAAAAAACATGGCTCTGCTGTGTGTGGAATAAATGAAATGTTTTGAAGAGGAGGTAAACAAGAGAAAAGATGCTGCTACTGTTCTTTAACCTTCACACTGAGCTCTGAATGTTCAAGGTTACAATTATTACGTTGAATTTAATCTGTGAGATAAAGTTTTTTTTTGTACCCTCTCAAAAAGGGTTTTGTCTGAAATTCTATCAAATCTGTGAAAGAAATTCCAATCCTTGAATCCCATCACAAAAGGCTAATTTCATACTTTAAAGGTTGTCCTGGAGAGCTAAGAGCATGTGAACAATGTGTGTCACACCTCCTGTGAATCCCTTTTATTTCACTACTTCATTGACGGTCGCTCCACTTTTTCACTGTCACTCCGAATTGCCTTTCGAGCACTCCCTTGAAAATTACCACCGCTCTCAGTCCTGGTGAGTTCTGTTCTGCCCAAGTTTGCCGTAAAGTGTCAGCTGTCTGAAAATCTTTTGTTTAAATGGCAAGTGGAAAATGCCAACATCTGTTACTTCCACTAAATTGGCTGACGCTGAGCGGTCGTGTCTTGTCCTGCTAGTCGAGACCGATCATTAGGAGTCTGCCACTTCTTGATGGACCGAGGCGCTGGCTCAGGTGTTGATCCTGCTTGCCAACTCCACGGCCAAACACATTTTCCTACTTTATTTTCACCTGTCAGTTGGTATAATCACTTCTTGGAACTTTGGCTCAAATGCCGAAATGTACTTTTCTTCTCTTCAAAGTTCAATTGCTCCTCGAAGTGTAATTCAAAGTCTTTCTCTGTCTGCTCTCTTCCACAGTGCCATCATGGGCCATTGTCTCTATTGCCTTTGTGGCGATCATCCTGGTGTTAGCCTGCTGCTTCTGCATCTGCAAAAAATGGATATTCAAGAAGAAAAACAAAAAGAAGGGCAAAGACAAGGGCAAAAACGCCATCAACATGATGGACGTAAAGGACGGGGCCAAAACCGAGGTAAAAAAGTTGAACTACTGTAGCGTAAAGTGCAGACACATTGCTCCCTACATGCTAATTTTACAATTTTCTGACAAAATTAGCTTTTTACTAGATAATTTGTGCATGACCTTATCGCTTTAAGTTTTAAATCATTTAAGAGTAAGTTGGTTTGAAAATGTTTAAGTTGTTTTAGCTGCTGTTTTAGACATACATTTCTCTTTTATACTGTCAGTGCTTCTAATAATGTATGGTGACTTTGATTTGATTGATCACATTTGCAGTATCGCATTAACTTTCACCAACAGTGTGAAAATAATTTTACTGCAAATATGGCCGTCAAAAATGTCCCTATTTTTAACACCATGGCTGCTGCTATACTGTATGTATTATATTTTGTTTAAATTATGTTTTTACTGTCGCTTAAGAGATACATACAGTTACTTATCTGCGATATTTCACGATTAATTTAAAAAAATGCAATACAGTCTAATCACAGGAGAGTTAATGAAGTCATTTAAATGGCTTCAGATTGAAGAGAGAATATTTCAATCTCTTTTTTTCTCCTACTTTTCGTTCCTGTGAGTGTTTCTTTTTGTCATATGAGGACCTGCTCACTCACAGAAGAGAGTGAGTAACGTGTGCCGTGTAATGACGTGGTATCCACCCAGAGAAATGACATCACCAAACCACAGGCTAATGGGAGGGAGGGGGGGGGGGGAATTTTTAATGAGCGTCTACCTGTTCGTCAGTGCAGAAAAGGGAAGCAGTGTAATGCTGACACTTTAAACGCTAATTGCATCAGTAGAGCATCATCATGCTGCTGTCCTCGCAAAAAAAAAAAAAAAAAAAAACATGTACAAAGTGTGTTTTAATTTGCTGCAACACCTCTGCTATTTATGGTGCATCTGAATCACAGTTAGAAACAGATGACAACGTTTTCACACCACATTTATCATAATTATTGTAGAAGGCGGAGCATTAATTAAGATTTAAATGTTCAAGCCTGCTTCAACAGAGAAGAGTGTTAGCTTTTAAAAAAAAAACTAGCTAGGTCAATAGAATAGAGGGAGTATAGCACAGTAAATCACTTAGCATGTTAGAGGGAATTTGCCATTCATTTCCAATATCCTGACTGCCTTTGGAGCACCCAATTTGTATTTTTAAGTAGTCATTTATCAAAATTATAGACTTCACCTTAATACCTGATCTCCGATATCGGTGAATCTGCCACTTCCGAGGCAAGCGGTCATTTCTCCTGGTGTGCCCAGACTCTGGTGTGTTAACTCCTGTGTGTGGTTGTTTTAATTTGTGTTTCTTCCTTCTATGTCCTCCTTATCTGTGTTGTGTCTGATGACTGTTCGGGATGGTCACTGGCGGTAGGTTCCAAATTGCTGTTGGATCTTCTTAAGCCTGCTGCTCTGATGTTTTTTTTTTTGTAGCCTCTTGATAACAACTGACTCCCATAGAACCAAATATATGTAACTATGCATACAGTACATGTATCTCTGCTGTATATATGTGCGTACAATCTGCATATGCACATATATATGTATGAAAGAAACACTGGGTGCACATTGACAAGGTTGAACCAGGCTGATTTCCATGCCAAGCTAAAGTCTCCTGCCTTTTGATTGTTTGATTTACATTTCAAAGAGTGGCGGTGAGTTAATGTAGAATGATTGAGAGGCTCTACAAGTAAACGTTCTTTTTGAAATATGCTGATGAAAAGGAAGCTATTGACGTACGGTACGATTCCCAAATCACAGCTGTCAACTGAAGTGAAGCAGATCTCACCTTCGCTTGAGCACAGATGCATAAAAGTTCAATTAACATTTTCAATTGATATAAAATTAACTTTTTAAGACATTGATTTCCTCAATCATTTTACAGGTTCTTTTTTCCTCTTTTACGCGTCAAATGGAAACTAAAGACCGCTCAATTTGGATTTTTTTTTTTTTTTTAACTGAAAGGCACAGACTAAGTGGCTCTGTGGAACAATTTTTAAGTAAATCAGTTTTGTTCAGCCTTTTGCTTTCACATGAGCAACTTGACAAACTAATAGGAGCAGGCCCCCTGATGTACATTACAACCCCTGTTACCAACACCTTCCCACCACCCGCTGGCATGACGCTTCTAGCTATTGGCGTAGGGGATAACACAACAGCTTTAGGGGGTTATGATGGCAATGTGACTGTATGTCTGAGGGGCGTAAGCAGACTTGGGAATGTGGGAATCACACGAGAGCACTGGATTGAACAGAGAATGCTCTGCATGCGTAATGATAAAGAGACTCCTTGGAAGGCAACTTTTGCAGAATGAATGACTTTGAGAGCTAGTCTTTGCCTCTTCAAACGCATGTTGGTCTTATAACAAACTCCTCCACCCTCCCACCCCTTCCTAGCCCTTTCCCCACCAATGCCACCACCTGCTACCCCTTACTTCAGTGCCAGGCTAGCGAAAAGGGCAACTTCACGTCTCACTCTGCCAATTCAGACATTTCCCAGTTGATATGTGTTTTGCCTGAAATAACATCAAGGGAATTGTCTTACTGTGAACTTTTCCAGAAACATCTCTCTCTCCTTCTTTCAAGTCTCTTTCAACGTCTATCTCTCCTCCTACTTCCTCTAATGCCTGCCCATTACTCTCATTTCTGGCGCCAGCATTTGATCTTTCCTCCCCTTTAGACAGAATCGCCCCAAAGAGTGATAGAAAAGCATCATCAGGGGACCAAGGCCCGGGGCTTTAGTGCATCACAGAGCATGTCCTGGTGTTAACTGCTATGGTGTTTTAGTGCTTGCTTCCCCCTTGTTTCCCCCCCCTTATACATCATAAAACAAGTGGCAGCTTTTACAGGAGTAGGTCTGATGGCAGGACCTAGGCGGGGGAACGGCTGGCTGGGTGCTAGCGTCAGCAACAAACAGGCGACACTGACTCTTGGTGGGTGTCTCCTTCAGGCCTTGAAGGATGAGGAGGATGCCGAGACAGGGCTGACTGAAACGGAGAAAGAGGCGGAGCCCAAGGAGGAGCAGAAACTGGGCAAATTACAATACTCCCTGGATTACAATTTCACCGAGAACTCGGTAAGGGTCTGTTCTCCGAATCTGTGTGTGTGTGTCCTTGTTGCGAAAGGTCCTCCTTCGTAAGTATGGTCACACCCAACCTCTGAGGTGGTCCAACTTTCCATCCCTGCAGAGATTAAACAGGACCCACCCAAGGTTCTGCACAACATTCTCCTTTGGTTGCGTTCCTGCTGTAAACACAGTGTGGTCACTGAAGCTTGAGATGAACCTCACAGGGATATATCATGGTGGTGGAGTTTGAGCATTGGCCATTAAGCCGGTACACTTCTGGGATTTTGATTTTCTTTCTTTCTACTAGGCCCTGCAGATACCCATCTGCTGTCATTTTGTTCCAGAGACTGAGTTTTAAAAAAGTAGAATGAGGATGCACATCAACTTCCTGTCGCCAGATGTTGTGTGACAGATAATAGATGCGGTGCGTGAACACAGCGCTGTCCCTCACAGGGCTAGCTAACTCCCCATTATAAGCAGAACTGACATCCTGAGATTAGAAAGTAACACTCACTGCTCCTATAAACACTGATGCATACAATGGCATTGGTTTGAACATAGATTTAAAAATGTAGAAGGAACAAGTTTTACTAAATGACAACAAATAGCAGCCATCTTGGCTAGTTCCAATACAGTATAGCATTGTCTTAAAATCATTCAATTAGTCTACCAATACAACCAATACTGGTTTTATTTAAGGTATTAAGCACAATACAACCATGTATATACAGTCTATGTTATAACTGATTGTAGTTTGTATAATGTCAACAAGTCTTCCTAAATAAAACATGATTAGTAAATATATGTTTTTCTAATCTGAGTTTAAAGGGTTGAGTCTGTTATCCAGCCAAGGTCCAATACATTTGAAACATTGAACAATTTTATTTGCAGAATCCTGAAGAGTTTGGATATGGGGAGAAGGCTGAATTCATTTTGGTGACAGAGAGTAAAGCATCCATTTAGTTTTGCCAGGATTTCTTTGTTGAGCATGGCGGGGGGAATTTATTCTCTCGACATTCAGAATTGTCATTCTCCAAACACACCACCCACCCCACAGAGTCCAAGCGCCAAAGCATTTCACATTTCCATTTTATTCATTGTAATAAATAATTTTCTTAATTCACTTGTCTCTCCTGATTGAATTAGTTTTGCCAGGATTTCTTTGTTGAGTTGAGTTGAGCAAGATCAGAAATGTATCAAACGTAGACAATAAATCTGCAATGACCAGACTGTGAGATGAACCGGGTTATTAATCAATTATTTTCAGCACTTCACTCTGCAATGACCATCAGTACACAAATTAAAGTCAAGATGTTGCTAATAAGTCAAAATGAGTGTTCCATAAACGAGGTCGGAAATTTCTTTCAATCAAAATGACAACTTATGGACTCGCTTCATAAAAGTACTATTATGTGGCCGATATCACATTTCACAACGTTGATCCATCATGTTGTGGGGAGGCAGTGACAGGTCTCTCTGTGAGGTCTCTTGATTACAGTGGTAATAAGCTTCACACAGGAGCTAAAGTGTAATGAATGGATGACAGTTTTGAGGCTTTGCGGGAGTGACCTGAGAGAAGCTCGGCTCGGCTCATTGCCTCTCCGGCTGCGGCCACTGAAGTTAAAGAAGCTCACGGCGGAAAGATCTAAAAAAAAAAATAATAAACATGAGGAGGCAGCCGTTTATGTGACCCACTTCCAGCTCAGTGACGACGTCCACGATCCACAGACACAGCGGCCTTCAGGAAATGTGTTTTTTTCTAATCCTCAGGCTTTGAGGCCCATGTAATCAATGTGAGCACCATAGAACTGCTGGAGGAGAACTGGCACAGGTGATTGCTTTAATACCTTGGCCTGAGCTTCCTTTATATAATAGAAATCTCTCTGTGAAATTTTCATTATTACAGAAAAGATGGCAGCCCTGAAAGAGAGAAAATTATGGCGATGATTGTCAACTGTCAAGTGTTTTGGTGTAAGAGATGATACTTGATTATCATTGAAGCCTGAAAATGCTCCTTTTTAGTATTTCCCCTAATCTTTATTTTCATCAAACAAGCCAATCTGACCTACCCCGGAGTCTACTGCACACAATACCCAATCATGTACACTTGACGGGAAATACTCAATGTGTGGTTAGACATGGCCGACAGTGTGTGTATCAACAATTCAACAAAGGCAGGTCAGGTACCAGTTAGAGGGTCAAAAATATGCTTCATAACAACACCAGGCTGCCTCCTTGAAGGCATCTGTCATGTCAATACTCAGTTGTGCTGCTAAAATATGACAGAAGAATAAAAGAGAACGCCTCTCTACAATCCAGAATATTTCATCGCTACCCTAATCATTAGATCTGGAATGCTCACGGGAAGAAGGTACCCTCTCCAAAATACCGAAATTAGAAGGTTTCCTTGTAACTAAATGGTGATGAATGGTTTATTTTCAACCCCCAACACATTTCTCCTTACCTAAATAATTCTTCATCTTTTCTGTCAGTGCATTAGGCAGATGTAGTACTTCATAAATTAAATTTGCAATATTCTACGCAGTCATCCATTATCAACCCTCATTCTCTGTTCGGAGAACCTATAAGGCCTTAATCAGATATGGATCGAGCCACATCTTCAGATATGATATATCAGAGATGCCGTGAAGATTCCCATCAGTATTACAAACCCTTGAGAATAGTAGAGCATGATAAATCTTGTGCCATGTTCGTGGATCCCAAAAGAAAACAAGCTGACACTACCTAATGTCAGCTTGAGCTTCATCTATATGTGCCTAAAAGTTTCAAAAATTAGAAAACATGCATTATTTAAGTCTACTTAATGGTGTTTTTTGTGTCTGTAAAAGTTCCACCTGCCCAGAGAAACAGGAAACACCAGTATGTTTAGACACAGAGACGAGCTGAGTGGGAGAAAGAAGCAATGCAGATTAATGTCAGATCCTCATGGCAGTGAGTCTAAGCTTTGTTTCCGTCTGATAACCACCACAAATGGCTTCTGCCCCTGGTGTTGATGATTCTGGGCTTATTCACTAATGAGACGAAAGGGTTTGTAAAAGATCCAAATCACTCTGGGAGCGACCAGGCAGTTACATCAGGCAAATACCCAGCAAATGAACCACAAAGAGCGCTCTCAGCACAGCAGGAAGGGAATTATAGTGTCATTCCTACTTTCAACATCATTACCATTTTCATTGCTCTTCAAGCAGGTCACGAGCAGGCTTATTTCATCGTGTCCAGTCTGAGTACGAGAAGTTTGAGCTCATTACTAAAAAAAGGGATGAATTTCAAAACAATATTATTACTTTTTTTCATTATTCATCTCAGTGTTTCCCCCTAGACGGTTTCATTTCTGAAATAAGCCGCTTCAATAAATATTATCTAGAAGGCGTCTTCATTTGGAGTGTGTTGTGTGTGTGTGTGTGTGAGTTTCTGTGAAGTGCTCATTGGGAAATAAGTCCTCCAGGATGAGCTGCCAAAGTTGTGAATCACCATCCAGTACAGAGTCTGGTCATGCAACTGCTCAGTGGACCAGAGAGTTGCACACAAACGGAGAGGGGTTAATACCAGCAGTCCTTAGTTAAACAGAAACACCCACACAGATGTGCAAACACATCAGCCACAGTAAGTTGTTTTTACCTGCAGTGATGTCATGGTCGGTAGTCAGGTGTTGAAAACATTAGTTCTGATTTGTGTAAAAAAAAAAAAAAAAAAATGTGATGATGCGTTCAACCAAAGCTATAAAGTACAAACACTTCTTGCTCTCAGCCTTCTTTTAAAGCCCCGTGGATTCCTCCCTTGTGAAGATGACATTACAAACTGTAGTGTGTCTGACTGTGCTGCTGAAGTGTCACTTCACAGCACTACAGTGTAAATCATTACATTTAGGTTCAGGTAAATGGCAGCTATATTATCTGCAAGTCTTTTATTTACCTTCTGAGGTATATAACCATTATGCTGTGAGAGATAATGATAGGCTGCATGCAGCTGTGCAATTATAGAAGTCATACTCATGTCAGAGTGGTCTCACTTCAGTGCTTGCAGTGTGTTTTTTTTTTAAGGTAATGTCAAGAAAATGTTGTGCATAACCTGGGGAGCAGTTCATTAATCGAGAATACTTCCCTTGATGATCTTGTCCTTTGTTCACTAGCGTCATGTGTAACAGTGTAACAACCTGTGTGTATCTGTGGTTCATTGACAGAAAATGATTAATGGTAGTCATTATTCCATCATTTCATGAAGACCTTTCCATACTGGAATCTCACCACCATCCAAAGCAGATATGTAGGTATATCATAGCTGAGACCAATACTTCCTAAAACAGGAGATGGTAACAGAAGCCTGAGTCTGTGTTGTGTTTTATAAATGCACAGAAACTGGGTAGTTTGGGTAAACCCGCCTTTAACCACAAAATGAAAAAGATCAATTCAAACAAAGTAGAGTTTTTGTCATTTCTTAGGAGATTTCCACCATGAAAGAAGAAATGGTACAATAGGCTCAATTCAAATGTAAATGTTTAAAAAAAAAAATAGTCGAGGAAAACAAAGATGGAATTGGGTGAAAATGTAAACAGAACAACTTTTGAGCATTCTTTGAAATCTTGAAGTTAGGCTCTTTTAAGGTGACATCCTGGAAGGGTCTCTATGGCCTCTCTCTCTTGTCACATTAACGTCATCAGTTGAGGGAGGTTGGATTACAATATCCACTCTTACAAACAAACTTTTAGCCAACATCAACCGATTAAAAACGCTGGTCTTAACTAACTAACTAACTAAGTACTATATCTTATCAAATTTAATGGCCTTCAAGTTACTTTAACCAAAGTCAAGAATTAACTCTGAGGGCCTGATTATTGGTAGATTTGCCTTTAAACACGGTTATCTTTTTATTCTCATGGCCAAAAACGTTGGTACTTTTACTCCCCAAAGAAAATACATTGCTAACTATTATCACTGTCTTTCACATTTTACGTCATTTCCCCGAAGGTGATAACCATCCAGAGGGGTTTTGTCTTCTCCTTCTTTTATTACCAATGTGTTTCTGGCAGCAGCAAACATTAAACTAACGCAGCTCCTGACAGCTGTAGAGCTCCCTGGCTGAGTGCCCTGGTCAGCCTCCAGATTGCAGCTTGATGGCTGCCTGATAGGAAGTTGATTGACTGACTTGCCGGACCTCCTGAGAGGTCTTTGAGTTGGCGCTCTGACTGGCAGGTCAATCAGGCTCCCAGCCCCCCCTTTGTGGTTATCAATTATCGACCTTATGTGAAGAGAAACAGTCCTCCCGGTCCAGCTCTGACACATCCTGACCTTTACCATCCCTTCAGCCGCTGTCAGGCTCTGCTGACATAACCCTCTAATACTTACACCTTATCCCAGAAATATGACACTGAATCATCTATAAGCCACCATTATTAAGGATGATTGGCCATAATGTCAGAAGACAATGTGACTGAAGGTCCTCAAGGTCTCCAAGCGTCATTAAGAAGTATTTCCAGACATTCCCTAACACTACAACTGCTGGAACGCTTTCATTTCTAGAATGGCTGAGGCTGTCATTGCCACTGCGTTTACAATATAAAGACTTCAACACTGAATATAAAATCTTAAGGTAGGTTATATATATTCTTTGTGAGGACTATTTTAAACGTAAAAAAATGGCAAACTCTTACGTCTTACAAGCCTTAAAATAAGGTAAACAACCACATATACCAGTTGATGCAAGTAAGGATTGAAGTATTCCTATTCCTTTATGAAATCAAACAAAATCTAATATTCCTGGTCTGTCCTGAACAAAGATCAGATACATGGGGCTAGGTAGCAAAGAGCTGTATCCTCTAGAGTGGGGGGAAAAAGGGGGCAAACAGTAAGTAATGATTTCTGTCTATGGTCCATGTGGTCATTATGACTGTTTGGCAATTCCAATTCCGTTTTTTGTTGATGTTAACTGAAGCAGGAGAAGTCATTGTCCTACACCAATATGAGTTTAATCTCAACAAAACATACCAAGCAAATGTTTGGGGGGGTTGAATTGAATGTAATCAATCGTGTGGTTTCTCTGCGAGGATGTTGGTGGGATGAAGGTTCAAGTTGTGATAATTGGATTCGCGTTCAGTCTGATTTTCCCTTTTCTCACTTCTTCACCCTTTGTTCCCCCCCTATTAGCTCATAGTGGGGATCATACAGGCTGCAGAGCTGCCCGCTATGGACATGGGCGGCACATCTGACCCGTACGTAAAAGTGTACCTGCTCCCTGACAAGAAGAAGAAGTTTGAGACCAAGGTCCACAGGAAGACCCTCAATCCTACCTTCAATGAGCAGTTCACCTTCAAGGTAAAACCCACACAGAATTGGAGATCTTTTGGTTCCACTGACATTCTCATTTGCATGCGTTGGGGAATGCTGGGAAGGTGTGGAGACAGCAACCAGCTGGCACATTAACAAGCTCCTGACAGAATATCTCACAAACACGCACACAGTCACACTCACACACACTGCACCTGAATATGATTGGGATTAACAGGCAGATCCGCTGCTACACCCTGGCCTTGCCTCGGCCATAATGGATGCACGGCTGCAGCTGGGCAGTTGGTAAAGTTTTGTCAGCGCGCAGGTGTTTGGCGAAACTTAAGCATGATGTGATGGGATATTTATTTGTGTTTTTCTAACTCTGTGGGAAACAACCAGGCCAGGTGATTATGAAGACTGTCAAGAAGAAGAAGAAGAGATGTTTGTGTCAGATAACGTCAAGGACAAACCGAGGAGTCTTATCAGCGCCTCGCTCTTTGTTTGGCTTGTAACGAGCCAGTTCCATTTAATACGCTTTTGTCCCAGAATTGATGGCAATAAAGGATCACAAGTGCTGCTGGAGGGCCCCACTCACCTGTCTTTTTACCTGTCCAAGGTTGTAGGCCTGATAAGAGCGTCTGTCACGGCTGTTAGAGTAGAGATTAATTTGGATACAGAATCACCCACAACATTACAATCTACCCACTACCAAAACACTCACATCTCACTCCACTTGGCATGTAATTAACTTTAGAAACTTTATTATGGATGTGATTGACAAACTGGGAACTTTGGTGAACTTTATCTTGGATATATATATATACACTAACATTTTCTTTTTATCAATTTAATACAGTTCTATTATATATAGTCACCCTTCAGTTTTGCATTTCTACGTTAGACAGACAGATTGCCTTGGTTGAAACTTTTCATTCACAGGTAGCCGACCCTGACGTCTTTCCTACTTTATAGTGCATCCTACTCTCAATTGAACCACTAAACACAAAGTTAACATCCTGCCATAATACAGAAAACATGCACATGGGCCACACAACAGAATGCAGGTTTAAGGCCTCCTCTCATCGTCTTCCTTTTCAGACCTTTCTGCCAGCTTAAAACTCAACAATCCCAGAACCCGTTGGACATCATCTGACCACGATCTAGCTTCTGGGAGTGTTTACCAACTTTTTTGGACTTCCAGTTTAGCCAGCGATGACCAAGACTTCCTTTTCTGTGCGATCCCAATGTTTACAATCCTGCTAGAAACTTGACAAGCGACACTTGAGTTGGAGTTGAGAAACAAGTCTCAGATCAGATTATATGTTTTTATCTAGGTTTATTACAGTTCAATCTGTTTCTGCACACAGCCCATTGTTCTCTCTTAATGAACTGTTTTTTCTTCATTATTATGCGGAATCTGTGAAAATAGATTCAAAGCACATGAACAGATTATTGGAAAAAAACAAGGCTGCTTTCCTCAATTTATCGGTAAAAAGACCCTGATGATGAAATCATGTTTACTTATTTCAGCTCTACCGCTACTGAGTAGGCTTAAAAGCTAACGTTGGGACAATATTGTAGGATATTGGCAGTCTTTAAGATATTTTCTAATATTTTCCTTTCTTCCAGTTGTTGTCTCTGATGATAACACATAACGCTCTTCACTCGAGCTGCAGAGAAGAATACTAAAGACCCTGAGGGCCAATAGTTTGCCAAATTGGCTAACTGAGCTCTGTGATTAAGACTAACCGCAGCATATCCACTTTGGACGAGCTCCAGATTGATACTAATGGTGTTTTTCTTTCAATGACACAGCAACCTCTTTAACAGCCTTCCTGTCAGCTGTGTGGGCCGCAGTCAGTCAGTCAGGATGTTTATATCCTGTCCTGTCAGGAAAACTGACAAGGATGCTCTCTTTGAATAAAAATGAGCATAGACAGATAAAGCCTGGATGTCAAACTGTCTTTGCAAACATCTCTCATGGTTGAAGCTGGATTATTGGCTGAGCGAGACTGTTTTGAGCCCTTCGCTGACTTGTTTCTGTGGCCGTCCTCCTCAGGTTCCCTACGTGGAGCTCGGTGGAAAGACACTGATAATGACGGTGTACGACTTTGACCGTTTCTCCAAACATGATGCCATCGGCGACATCAAGGTGCCGATGAACAAGGTGGACTTCAGCCACGTAACGGAGGAGTGGCGGGACCTGCAGAGTGCTGAGAAGGAGGAGGTAAGAACCCACAAAGCTCAACCACTCTGTAAAAAAGGAAGTTTGACATCATTACGTCGCACCTCTCATTGTGTCAAGGCTTCAATTTGGACCTGTTGTCGCTCTTGTTCCAGTTATAATAGTTCTTTCATTGTTCCTTGCTTAAGTGAAATTGCAATCATTGTTTTGTTGTGTCCAGCACGCCGTTAGCGCTCAAACTACAGACGTGTTGCCGTGGCCAAAGTAATCCATCGCCCCTGGAAATGTCACTTAATCAGATGTCCACACTTCCCCTTCAATTAATAGAAGTGTGACTTTCCATGCAACAGTTCAGGAGATTCAATTTTCATGGTAAATGTCATGGCATATAGCACATGTTGCCAGGGGAAACCTCGTTTTTTGCATTACGCTGCTTTGATTTAAAGGTTAATTATAACAGTGGAGAATGGCAGGTGGTGTTGTTTGAGTTGAAGGGCATCAGTATACTTCTTTAACATCTGCTCGCACAGCTGCAGCGGACAATTTAACACAAGGCCCGAGACACTGGAGCGGAAAGTGTTTGATTGATTGAATTTTTTCACAACATTTTGAGTCAAAGATAGTTAATTCTTCTGTTTTATTAACTACATATTATAACTGTTTAAATACAAAAGGTCCATTTTCTTTACAGCTCATCAGTTGCATCGAATAATAATTACAAACAGAAGAGTTTTTCTTCTAGTATGTCAAATAAATTCTAATGCCAGAATAGAATTAAAACTTAAGATTTAATTCACGAGTCAGAATAATTAAAATTTCTACTCATTGTCAGCTACTTAAACAACAAGGTCACCCCAAAAATACATACTTCTGTTACAGAAAATATTTAAATTTCAGAGCCCCCTCCTCTTTAGGCCACTTGAAATATTCCGAAGTACAGCTTGAGGAGGAAAAATTACCTGTGCGAGACTGTTCACAAACCATTGGTTTGTTCAGCGTGTGATTGGGGGTCAGGTTTAAATGAGAGTAAGGCAAACAGGATGGAAGCAGCTGGATTTAGAGACAAAGACAGCTCTGGAAGAACTCGACATGGGAGTCTAAAAGAGGCGCTTTTTCATGTATAAATCTTTTTTTAACAGGTGGAAGGAACATAAAAGAGCATATCATTTGATGCTATAGCAGGTTCAAATATTTCCCTTTTAGTTGAGAAGGAAGCTGTTGGCCTTTAGAGTTCATAGAAACGCGTAAAGAGGCGGGTCGCTGCTCTTTGATGGACATAATGAACTGTCACCAGCGCTCACACTGCCCTTCTAGGGAGCTTGTTTTTGTTGATTAAACTCGGTTCCAAGACATCAATATCAGACTGTTCAGTCATTGTTTTTGTGTTGGGTGATAAATGAAATTGTTTTAGAACTTCTTAAAGTACAAAACAAATTTCAACCGTTTCCAGCGCACTGCTTCCACATGAGGAAATAGACGCTGATTGGCGCTTGATGAGAGACTCCTGAAACAAAACGAGAGTGGATATCCAGGTTTGGTTTGCCTCTGATTTCTAATCTTGGTTCTAAATGGCCCACACGTAAGAGCAGGTGTGACCTGAGCTGGAGTTATTGACTGACTGCTGCTCCTGTTGATAAGGGATATGTGGAGAATATGAGTCGCTCTCCGCTCTGTGCATGATAACGAGGCTGTGTTGTGATGGTGATTTGTGCGAAACAGTGAAGTGATTGCAGTCAGTCAGTACTTTTCCAGGGAAGTAATGAGTGACAAACAGCAGCGGGAGCTGATGTTAGAAATCATTCAAAGCAAAACAAGAGGAAAAAAATCCTTCCTGGAAGATTGGAGATGTTGTTTTTTTGGATGGAACTCCAAAGCTATGACTCAGACATACAAAGATTAGAATTTGATCAACACTTATTTTATGTGTCTGTAATGTAACTTCAACATATATATGAATCATGTTTTTTAACCATGTGCTCTTTATTTCAATGTGGAGGGTTATTGAGCTTTGATTTTTTTTTTTTTACAGTTTGAAAATATCGACATGCACACGTGCTTCTTCTTATATCAACTTCTGATATATTTGACGAAACAGTTCATTGTTTCATTTAAGAGTATACCTGCATGTTTGCATCACAGCAAGTATAAACACAGGTTTTTTATATTTATGTAAATGGGATGTCTGGTTCAAACTGCACACTGCAATTACTGTAAACAAATCTATACCCCAGTGTCAGTGTACTTTATTTTAACCTCTATTACCATAAAATGCCAAATGTCCTATGAAAACATTGTGAATATCAGCTTTTGATATTAACATGAGACCCAAATAAACATCAACATGTTAAGAAGGCGAATTAAAGCTCTAGATTTGGTCGACTGAACAATGTGTAATGTGCTTTGGAGTGGAATTTCATTTTTCGTTTTTTATCCCTCCTCATTTAGCCCCACAGTGAGCATCTGCTGTGAACACGTGATGCTGTAAATTTGGATTTAGTTGTTGCTGCTAAAACTGTTTCTCACCTTCTGCGATGTCTCTGCCTGTCCAACAGCAAGAGAAGCTAGGCGATATCTGCTTCTCTTTGCGATACGTCCCCACCGCTGGCAAGCTCACTGTGGTCATCCTGGAGGCCAAAAACCTGAAGAAAATGGACGTGGGAGGCTTGTCAGGTAAGGAAAACTGTATTGGTGTGTGCACTGACTTTCCCTTTCAACAGGCCCTTTTGTCTGTAATTATACATGCACTGCAGCACACACTTTGCCTCTCCTTCAACACGTCTATCAAGTCTATGTTTTTCTTTCTTTCTTGACCGACACCCAAACACACCACTGGTCCAAAATTCACATGTCAAAGCTGAATTTTTTAGCATTTTGCCCTCCAAAAAATCTTAAAAGTGTTGAACGGATGTTCAGATCCTGAAGAAAACGCAATCTTCAGACAGAATTTTGTGTGAAAGAAGCACAAATAAAATGAAAACATTACCATCCCCCCCCCCACACACACACACACACACACACACACACACACACACTCCCCTTCCCCACCCCCATCTTCCTGTGGTGCAGCTCCAACAATACACTAATGTAGCATTAAGATCAATAGATGACATTTCACACAATACAGTGGAGCCTGAATAGCAGGTCTGATGTCATGGTAACAGAATGTGGCATGTTAGGGCAGAGGAGATGTGAAAATCCTCATTCACACAGCACACACCGCTTCATGACTGTAACATGCACAAACTACACAGAAAACAATCAAAGAAGAAGTGATTCATAAAGGGACAACAATAAAGCTCGGTGATTCTCCACCACAGTACCAGGACGAGCATGTTCTCAGCTGCTGCTGTCGTCTTCTCTGTTTCTCTCATAAAAAGTTTTTAACGTCTCACTGTGAAGGGAAAATGAAGGAATCTCATTTTGTGAAAAATGTTTATTCCCTGCGGGGGTAAGTCAGCCGTGTGGGCACGTTTGCACAGCAGGGACGGCTGTGTGCACATTCCAGCTTTAAATCCAAACATACCTTAATGACTCTGAAATTATAGTGCAATCGCACAAAGGAACGCACACTGCTGTTTGTCTAGGGCTTTATTTTAGAAAGTAAGACCTTTAAGAGTTTTATTATTTTCTATCTGAGTGTTTTCCTTTCGCTTTCATTTTTATTTTGGGCTGTAAACGCCTCCACAGCATAATATTTTTTTCTCTCCTCTTACCTCAATGGTATTAAAGTGGATTTTTACATACAGTTTTGTATGTCTATATAAAGTATGTTAGAAAAGATTCACAAAACTAAATAAAGAGACTACTGCACCACACATCAAATTAAAAGAGTGAATTGGTTACCTTATTGTAATTTTATGGATTAGGTTTGATTGAGGATGATCTTTAGTTTGAGGCTTTAAGGTTTAACTGTTAGGCTGCTTCAAAAGATAGCTGAAAGAAACATGATGGTACTCAATGGGAAAAGAGCTCCAGAAGGTAATTTCTTGTTAATGACTTGCAGTTCACTGTTTTAGAATTAGTTTATATGTTTTTTGCTTTACTTTAATATTTCATAAAAACAATCATCACTCTGGGGTAAGACAGAAATGATTGGCCGGGGTCTAAATTTTAGATCATACCAGACACATCTAGAAATAAAAAAAATCACAAAATAAACCGCCTCCTCTCCCGCCTTCCCTTTGACTTTCTTTAGTGGTTTCATTTGAAAATTCCCTGTTGTGCACTTCCCTCTCGCTTTGACTCTTTCTGCTGCAATTACCATACAGCTGGGTCCACTTGCTTTCTGCCTGACAGCCCAGCCTCTCCATATAAGCCGAGACATCCTGCAGTACAGTACCACAGCGCACATTAAAAGCTCAAAGCTCCCTTTCATCTATCAGACCACACAAAGCCATTTGGCAGGGGGGAATAAAACCTCCCCTGCTGCCAATTTATGCCACTGGCGTTAGCTCTCACCTGTGCCCATTTGCATCGTGGGATTTTCAACATTTTGGGTTGTTAGCCACATCGACCAGCCAGAATGAAAAGGGTGTGAATGAGCTTTCTTTGGAGCCCAGGTTTCTCTCTAACTGAGGGAGGAGAGAGCGTTAAAGCCAGACAGTTTGACACCACACACTGTATGTCAGGTTTAATTGGAGCATGTTTTATCTGTGTGCACTGGTCTGTGGGTCTCAGGGTGAATTATTAGCATACATTAATAGCCCAGTGCATTGTTGTAATTACACACAACCAGAATATACTCTGATTCGTAGCTGGGTTTTGGTTAGTTGCAGCTTTCTTCTCTGCTCTGGGAGTGTGGGCTTTTAAAGTGTAGCAGATGGATGAAATAATGGGCAGGTCTGTAATAACAATAATTAGCCTCCATCCACGGGGCGGCTCAGCCGGAGCTTAAGGAGGAGGACATGTAATTGATGGCCTGGGATCAGCCCTCTCCTCTATTGTCATCCTGTTTACCATGCCTAATTATGGCTCACAGAGGAAGATGTGGGTATTTTCATTAACCAATGTATAATCAGAAATAATTCTTTTGATTGTCTCCTCATCTGTGCTGTTTCTGCTTCCAAAAAAAAAAGATTTGAATTCATACTTTTTTTTTTTTTTTTTTTTGAAGTGCAGTTGACTTCTGTCGCCCTTGAGGATTGCTGTTACTGAAGTGCTTTGAGGCACCGAGCACCATGTTCTTAAGCTGTCGTCTCAAAATATCCCAGCCTCATCGCCCGACAAGTTATTCCTCTCTCTGCGTTAACAGACTCCAGAGGAACGTACAAGAGATATTCGTTAGGTTTAGTTTTCAACCTCAACGGGTGGTGAACTCTACAGACTAGAAAGTGAGTTTTAAAGCAGCAACAGGTAAAGTCTTTCACCTCTCAAGAGTGTACCCTGCTGTTTCATGCTGAGGAGGAATAAGGATTGTGCTTATTGTTTGTTTAAAAATGTGTGTTTTAAAGTGCTTCAAGTGTAAACCTGGCATGGTGCGCCATCAAAGTGAGTCATACTCAGAAGTGTGTCAAGGCACAAAAGGCTAAGTGTCGGTAAGAATGAGGACAAGCGACTCTATAAAGGTAGTTGTTGCAAAAAATGTTTTCTCCCACCCTCTTTGTACCACTGAAGACTTCCCAGAGGACAGCGAGGCGGCGGCATATAACCAGGTAATGGCCCGCAGTGAGGGAGGTTATCAAAGCACACAGGCGCCGTGTCTGCGGTAATGAAGCTGCACTGCCCCGACCCAATGCTCCAGCTCACCATCTTGGCGGGAGGAGTTATTTGTTTTGTTCCACTGGCTGCTGGACTGAGAGGTTTTTCTCCCAGTCAGTAAAGAAACAGGCCAAAGGGATGAACAGGACCTAAGACAATAAAAGGGAAATTCATTTGTCGATGAGTTTTTCATGCCGTTTTACTTTGATATGAAATCCAAAGATGTGGATAATAAGAAGTAGATGATCAGAATGGTGGTTTTAGATAATAAGGAATCTTAATTTACATACAAGAATTCCTTCAAATCGTGTACAGGTGATTTCAGGCGAGTTTCACTGTGAACGCTTGTGTTCGTGTGGTGTGTGTGTGTCACTCAGCAGTGATCTCAGTGTGTAAAACTAAACCGACAGTCACCCCCGGATGCACCCACCATGGCAAATCCAAAATGATGTGAAGAAAGCTAAGATGACAGCCAGGCTATATTTAACCCTGCCTGTATTGGTGTTCATTTGGCACATCTCTGCGAGCCCCCTGAAGCAGCCACGCTCCACGAACATGGACGTGTTTGAGCAAGAAATGCAATTTTTGTTCGGTAAATCTGTTCAGAAGTCAAGCTTTGACTGTGAGATCATCACCGAAATAGTCCAGGGGAGTCTCAGCTGGCAATTATTCACAGCTTGAAAAGCAAACTGTAAGTTACCACTTTAAAATTAACAGCTTTAGTGGCTCTGCTGAACTCATCACTGAGCTCAGCTCTTATCCACAAACCTGCTTCTAGCTTCCTAAGGGAAATGTAAGGACCGCTGATACTGCATCGCCTCATAAAGCTATGGCCAATATCCAGGACTCAGATGAGTAACCTGTGGGATAACGAAGGCAAGCGTCTGTGCTGTACACATATGCACGGAAGCACTCTTGCATCAGAAGCGCTGGCATTCATCCATGAAATGGGGGAGATCACACCCGTCTGGGATAAGACAGTAAAATGGGCCGGATATGAGGTACAGCGAGCTTCCCAAAACTCAATAAAGCCAAACTCTCATCTGTTGCACAGACAGATAAGAGGCGCCTGGATAGCGCTGATGTGGCACCACAGGCGTGTTGTTTTTTCATCCTGAGAACGGGTTATCTTGCATAATACCACTCAGATGTGGATATGTGCTTTTTCAGGCACATGCAGTTACAATAGAAGAGGAAACAGTCAATCATTTGAATACATAGTTAGCTTAGCCCCTCCAGACATCAGTGCTTGTTGAAAAAAGTAAGCATCCATAACTTGATCTACAGGTCGACTTTCAAATGTGGAAAGTGTCTTTTTAGTCTTTTCAGCCTATACAACATTAAAACAGTCATAAAAGATAAAGCTTAAGCAGTCAATGTTTATATTAAGTAGTTAGCAATCTGCATTGTAAAAAAAAAATAACTATATGGAGTCAGGGAGGTGTTGGCTTTGTCCTGCTGTTTATTGGATTTGTGGGAATTTTCACTCCTACAACTGATAAGCCCAGGATAGGTTCACATTTGCCAAACACATGTATTAATCCTTATACTAAGCCTGATAATCCTGCTCTCTTGTAACATTACCAGTCAGAGTTTGAAAGCTGGAACAAAGTAAAAGACTGATTTTTTTTTTTTTCCTGCCATACTTGTACAACTCTGATTTACTAGCATTTATTCGCAGTGAGATCTATACTGCTTTTATCATTTATTTCTATCCGGATCATCTACAGGTGGAGAAACTGACTCTTAGCCTTGAGTAAAAGCCCCAGTTTTTAGGATGCTGTTTAATATGCATATACTGCATTTAATTATTTTAAAGAGTTAAGTGCATTAATGTGGCACAGCTAGAACATAGTCAGCAAGAGACAGCGTTTCAACTTAGGCGGCATACATTTGCTAACATTACATTTAGAAAATGTTTGTCAGTAAAAGTCCTAAAATAAATAGAAAAAAAAACTATCAGAAAGTGAGTTTTGGTAACAGTCCCAACATTTAAAAACAAGAGAGAGTGTCTGTATACATCCCCACAAGGATAGGGAAAACTTAAAGGCTGAATCAGTAAAAGTTCTCAAGGTGCAGTAAGAGTAATAAATAATCGTAAAACTTTGTTGTGTGAGTCTTAAAAAATGAAACGCTGATAAAGCAGTCTAAAAAAAAGATGGTGTGGCTTGAGAGGAGAGGTTCCTCACAGAGATATATTTTTGGTTGTTCTCTATCCCTTCACAAAGTGTTACACACAGAGACACAACCTCCATTTCGCTGTTTGTCTCGTCCCAGCACTCCAGCTCTTCTCAGCAGGAGAGAAATAATGGGCACCCACTCCATTAGGAGCCTGTTACCTTTTCTCTCATGTCTCTGTCATCTATTTATTCTCCCTGCTTTTCCCCCTCTTACTCTGTGTGGCTTTCTCTCTATATTTATGTCAGCTGCCCTGGATGAGCCTGCCAGTCTGCAATCAAGTCCTTATCCTCCTAAATTGGATAAAAGATTATCGGAGCTAAGCTTGTTCAGTGTTTGCCTTGCTGGAAATCCAACAATGTTCCAACTAAAGCAGATATTTTTCAGCGAAGTACACATCAAAAACATGAAACACCGGCATATGGGATCCAGAGATAATTCAGATTATCAAAGCAAGCTGTGTATCAACAGCTATTTATAAGATCTGATACAAAACCGTACTCTTTATTTATTCTGATGCAAAGCTCTACGGTTCATGAGTTAGGGGAGATAGTGTTGGCCTCAGGCGAAGGGCTGCCTCATTAGCATTACATTATTGTGGTATTTGTTTTTATCCATCTGAAGCAGCGTGTTGTCTCAAATGATGGATGAGACCAAGCATTTTTTATTCATATGAATCCTATGGGGGGTATAGTTGTCATGATTGTTGGTGGTGCTCATAAGGAGTCATTTAGAGATCGTTGCATGTGGAACAATAATTTCAACAATCTGGTGGAAATTTTTCAGACTGAAAGCCATGGTCTGGGTTATACGTGTCCATCTATCTTACTTATAAGAGTCCCCGCAACAACATGTAAACCCAAAAGGGTGTCAGTCACAGTCCCCACAATGATGGGAAAACCAGAAAATGTGTGCTAACTAGTCCCAAGAACATATAAACCGGGACGTGTGTCAGTAATCCAGAGCCTTTTTTCAGTCCAAGGATGGGTAAACCAAAACATGTGTGTCCAAAGAAATCCATATATAACCCCATAAGTGTCTTTTTTTATAATCAAGCACTTAAAAAAAAAAAAGTGTGTCAGCAAGATAGCCAAAATAAAACAGACAGGACTGATTTATTTTTATGAAATCCACTTGTAAAGAAAAAAAAGAATCTAGAAATGTTAGTTGTAGAAAAAATGGTGCACAGGAAATCAGAGACCTCATGAACAGCTAATGCATCAAAGTCTCTTTGATGCTTGGATGCATGCATTAAAACCAATTAGAAACATGAATGCCTACATACGTAGCGAAGATATTCTTGCTTTCTAAATTAAGGCCTGCAGAGCCTTTATAGCCTCGTATACATGAATAAATTTGTATTTGTATTGACTGTTTTCTAGTTTGTGTTGAGTAAGGTGTGTTTAGTCTTTTTTGAGTTTTTTGAGCAGTGATACATCATCTGAGGCATGATAGCCAACTGGCCAGCAATGTACCAAAGTAACAGTGAATAGATGTTCATTATGTCCTCTGTAATGCCTGCAATTTGTCCTACATTTATTCCCCTTTCTAAGTTAATAAGCATGAACCAGCAGGAGATTGTACAAACAGGATAACTGTGGATGAAAAGGAAGGGTACATATCCTGTTCACTACAGTGATTATGAATGTTTTTGTGTGCCTTTGTAAATCACAGTGGGACTCGTTACATTCTTTCGCTGCCTATATTTTGGACTCATTAGGATCTCTTTCAACATGAAACCCTCACCTAATCCCTCTAATGGCCCAATAAAAGACAAAATAAAAAGCCTCTATTTATTCCACAAATTGAAATGGAAGTTACTGCCTGCTCTCTTGTCTCTATTTCCCTCTAAGCCCAAACCAAAACAACTAAATCTTCTCCAATTTAGATGTAATGACACATTGGTGATTGTAAACAAATCAGGAGAAGTAGCTTCAAATGATAAATGAAAGCGATGGGTGGTTTGCCATTTTCAGACACACACTCCAGCTGATTGCCAGAGAGGGCACGAGGACAGACAAAGCAAACCACTTGGGTGCTACTTGAGATGGCATTCGGACAGATGAAAATGAGCCTCTTGAATGGGGAAGGTTAACTTAGGGATGTAAACGCACAAGACTCTGGTGGCCATTTATAACCACAGGAAGGTAGTGAAGTCAGCACACTCAACGTCCTTTAACGTCTTTAAATCTGGGTAGGGCAGCAGCGTACAGACCAGCAACAGAGGTTGATGATGACGGCTCTTTACTGAAACGCGTCTATTGTCGGTATTGAAGTATATTTGAGTTATTTTTGAGATATTCATCTGATTATTTCTCTTTTATAATATAATAATTGATTATTGCTATTAAATGCTTTGCCAAAAATGTTCACATTCATGCCATTCAAGCTTCCTGAATTGAATTGAAAAGTGGCCAAGAAATCACTTGATGCAAGATTCTGATCTGTAGAAGAAGAAAAATGAAAGCAACATTATTTGTGAAAGACCCCAAAAAATATAAACAAGTATCAAATGTAATTTTCTTTTTCTCTGCAGATCCATATGCGAAGATCCACCTGATGCAAAATGGCAAGAGGCTGAAGAAGAAGAAGACGACAATCAAAAAGAACACCCTCAACCCTTACTACAACGAGTCCTTTAGCTTTGAAGTCCCATTTGAACAAATCCAGGTACATTATCCTCCTTTTACAGAGTATATAAGATATCCTTTATTTAAATTGTCAAAGTATTGATGCCTGACTGTAGGGACAAATGTACTGTAAGAACCAGCAAATGCTTGTTGCAGACTAACAGTGGGTAAGTGGAAGCTCATTTACCAAATAATCAGTTTAGAGGCTTTTCATCAACACAGCATAATCAAAAGCACTTGAGTTTAAATCAGCCTTGGTTCCACATTTTGACAAGCCAATTGTTAAGTTGATATCCGTTGTACATGTTATTGCCTGTTACATGGATCCCAGTGCTATTAGTTGCATAGTTTCCAATGATCAGCATGTACATCATGACTCAAGTGTACACAGAAACACCCACAGTAAATCAAACACTAAAGGAGTAAGGCACGTGTGTTTTCTTTAATTGACAGGCTGCCACATAGGAATAACATTATCACTTCAGGCAAGACAGTAATCAAGTCGAATTGATTCGGCCTGTCACAGCTCTCAAATCACAGACTTTAGTTCCATGTGCCTCGATTCTATTTGATCCCGCTCAACCCTCATCTAAATCGCGTTCTGATGTAGTGCTGCGGCTCCCACTGTATTCAATACATTCACATTTCTTAGCTCCTCTCCAAGAACCAGGATGTTCATTAAATAAGTATTAGTGTGACTGATTCGTTCATAAGCTTTTCATTGATTAGGCGTATTGAACACTGCGAGTATCAAAAAGATTCTCAGATGACTTCATTTATCAGAGATCAATCAGTTAAACGTCAAATAATCTCCTTTAAAAAATAATGAACTCTTTAAACGCACTTAACACCAATGACAGCTCCTGAGGCCTCTGGCTACATCTGATTTTAAATAAAGACACTTATTATAGAGCCGTGGTGATTTTTAATTACAGACTTTTTTTGCACCACTATATTACCGCTGCCTGAAAATGAAAATGCAGTTTATATTTGTAATCGATTTCTCAGGCATACAACATCTTCAGGAAGTTATACAGGCTGCTTATAGAAAGCAAACGGCTTCATCTGCAGAGGCGTCATGGTGCATTTGAGTAAAAACTTGACCTTCTGACAGTTTGTGTAATCAATCTAAAGATTTTAATTGTCTCAGAGATTGCATGGGGGATGACTAATAGTGCTCTTAATTGGTCTGATTCCTGCATTAACAGGAGATGTATGACTGTTGTGAGAAGTTTGAAATCCTCCCTAGGGCACGCACAATTTAGTCAGTACGTTTACATGCACAGTTAAGTTGACTTTGCCATTTAATTGGACTACTGTCCTTGTCCCAGTATAGAAACTATTGATGGAAGTATGTGTTAGTCCCCTATCACATACCAAACAATCTACAAACTATATGGCAAGTGGCAAACTGTTTTCCTTCCGACCATGTAATCTTACAACACAAACATGTAAACACATCATTTTAAGGCTCTGGTGTAAGTAAAATAGCTTCCTAAAGTCCAGTCATCACAGTTCGGTTGCTTGGTTTTCTTTTACCAGACTTGTAGACGGAGCTTCTATATGCGCCGACAGCTCTATGGTCAGAGATGATATGAAGAAGTGCCAGACAAATTGGTAACCCTGTTATAAGTTAATGAGCTTGTTTCCTAAGAATAGAGCTGTTCTTTTAATGATTTTCCAGATTGTGATTTTTATCAAGGACCACAGAAGCATCAAAACACCGGTCAGTGATGAATAAACAAAAGAGCCTCCTCAAAGAAAGCTCTGATTCAATCCCCCTTTTTGAAGGCAAAGCGTCCCTTTTAAAACCAACTAACCCCACCGGGCCAGCTGGGAGCCTTATTCACCTTATTCAGCCTTTAATTACATGGCGTATTAGGCACAGTCTTTTATTACAGTAGCTCTGTGCTCATGCAGGTGTGCAGGTGCCTGCCTCTGTGTTCCAGTGGATCGAAACTTAATCAGGCCGCTGTGTGCACTAATACATATTCTTTACAGGAGATGGATGCCCAGGTCACTCCTCTTTGCTGTGTCCTTTTGAATAAACACATGCCGAGGATGAGTCTTAGACCTCTGAGTAATCAAACATTCTGCTGTGTTTGGCTCTGAAAATAACTGAGGTCTGGTCTGATATGTCAGTAAATGTTAATCAACATTAATGTCTGCAGACGCCCCTCGTTCTCCACATGACTGAAATACATCAAGTTATGACCAAGCACTGTTTCATATAGCTTTATACACATGCATACATGTTTCTATTGTACAGTAGTTGATGTTTCAGGGCATGTTGACTTTGTAAGGGAAATATATGGTTTGAACTACTGTTCATCTAATGGATCTTTCCCATGAAATTCTCCAATCTTGTTACAATTTACTTAGCAGATGCTTTATCAAAGCGACGTACATCAGAGAGCAATCTTGTTCCTTTTTAGCATTTCTTGTTTGTTTGAAATAAAATACAAAAACTGGAAAGTTAGCAAGACTTCAATTAAGTCAAACTAAGACACAGAAAGAGTAAAGTACACACAAACAGAAAAATAATAGTTAAGCCACACACAAGAAAAGACAAAATCAACATGGAGTAGAGATCAAGTAACATCAAGAGGCAAAAATACAGACAGATGGATGATATAAAAAACTGTGGGATTATTAAGATGTTGAAAGCTCGTTCTTGACATTAAAAACAGAATTTAACCAAATCGATCTCTACACAGGGTCGATTTAGCTGCAGCTCTAAAACTTTGAATCATATGGTTAAACTTTTCTGAGCAGATCAAGTTGCCCAATGTGATGAGTTGGTTCAAATCACTGACTTAACAAAATGGAACTAAATTGTTTGACTAAAGCAAACACAGCTGCTAAGAGATGAGCATTATCCGTCTCTATGCTGACGACACCCTGATTTACAGCTACGCTCTTTCCTCTCTCTGCTTTTTCCCTTCTACAGAAAGTGCAGGTTGTTATAACTGTTCTGGACTATGACAAGATCGGCAAGAACGATGCCATCGGCAAGGTCTTTGTGGGCCTCAACAGCTCGGGGACGGAGCTGCGCCACTGGTCCGACATGCTGGCCAACCCCAGGAGACCCATCGCCCAGTGGCACGTTCTGAAGCCTGAGGAGGAGGTGGATGCTCAGCTCTCCACCAAGAAATAGGCGGGGACCTTTCAGCACCTGCCTTGTAGTACTCTTTAGCCAGTATGTGTAAATACCTCAGTGATATATGGGTCCATCCATGTAAGCCCCTCCCACTCACATCACCCCGCCCTCCCAGCTTCTTAAACTCACAGTCAATCCTAATTGTTCAAGTTCCCCACTACATCCCACTCTGCTTTGTTCTATCAGGTTCCCTTTTTTTCTTGCTTTTTTTTCTCTGTTCCGCTCTGATTTAGGAGGTTTGTTTACCATCTCTGTGCCCTTAACTGCCCCGACCAAATGCGTCCCCTTCTTTTAAGCAATATGATCTGTATAGATAGCGCATGACTGAAAGAATTTATTGTACCACAGTTGTATATATAAGTATGCAGACAAAAATGATTTCTAGTTTATGTGTTTGTATGTTGTTACCCGTTTCCTAATCTGTGTATATCTTGATGTTTTTAATAAGATGTTCTATTTTAAATTATGTAAATGCAGATATAGAGGAAAGCCAATATTATATATCCCAGGATTTAAAAATTCTACCTTATTACCTTATCGCATTCCAGAAGAAAAATAATACCAACCTGTAAGACACTAGTGGAAACATACTCAAATATTGTAAAGGACAAAGTCTGGCTTTAAGTTCAGCAGAGGGTCATACAGAAATCACAAACAGATGATGTTATACACACACAAAGCTCCAAATCAAAGGCCATTAACTACTATGGTTCTGAGAGAAAAATTATGCTGCTGGAAATTATACAAGCACATGATTTCTTACAACTTTTTGTACTTATTTCTCAACCAGAGAACGTGTTTGTTAGCACACTGTTACAAAAAAAAAAAAAGTTAATGAAAGCCAGTAAACATTTAAGTTCTCCATATTTGGCAGTTCCTTCGAAGTGAACTAGGTCCCTGTTGTTTACTCACACTGGCTCGATCTCTTTTTCCAAAAATGGAAAAACATTGCCTCCAAAAAAAAGAAAAAAAAAGAGTCATTCCTCAACCCTTCGAAATCAGACTCCCTGTGAAAAAAGCACCAAGCTGTAGCCATTGTGTCTTTAAGCGACAATATTTTGTTACCTGCTTACTTTTAACAGCCTTGTCGTTGTTGGGAGTAAATTACATTTCAGCCGGGGTCCGATCGATATCAAAAAAAACAAAAGGGAGTCGTGACTCTGGCTTTAAGAGGACTATTTTTTAGAGCAGTTCAGCGTCTCGACTATTTTTAGTAAACTGCATGATTTTTTTTACTATCTTTACTAAAGGCTGGGGCAGGGGGGGAGATCTACTGACACCAGGGGCTGTCTCTTCTGAAACGCTCCCCTTGCCTTCAATCAGAGGAGAAGACAGCAAAATCAAGAGAGATGCTTTGGGTCAATGTAAGCGGTTACATTGACGAGGCGAAAGCGAGTTTCTAAACACTGCCATTTCCAGGGAGGCGACTTGTGTAGAGCCCCTCCCTTCATGCACACTCCCACTTGCTAGTGGTTGTAGCTTTGGTTTATCGGGAACAATGTCTCTGGCTGCAATGGTGCCCTGAATCGCAGTCTTTGCTTTGCGTTGCCTTCTCACAGTGACAATAGAGCTAGCCATGTTTTACTGCCAATTTTAACTTTTATGTGGCTGCTGTTTTTGCACTGGATGTCTTTAAAAACTAGCTTGTTTACTTCTTTGGCGGGGAATTGTTTGGGGACAATTTGTTGGCTTGCTTCACTTCAGGACACCTGCAGGGGGAGACAGAAATCTGCCTGCTTGATTGACTTACAGAAAAAACAACGATGACAAATCAGCCAACAGCAGATACATCAGTTTAGTTTTCTTGTTGGCACAGGACTACACCAAGAGAATGCGTAAAAAAACGTAAAGTTAATGGTCTGCGAAGCTATTGGTCCATCATGTCCTTTACTACGGGTCCAATTAGGAGAGGAATACGTTTTAATCCATGAAAACCATGAAGTCTCTTATCTTGGAGGAACCTCTTGCATATACTCGATGCTAGCTTCAGGAGGACTTTCTAAATGTTTTCAATGTTATTGTGTAGTTGATAGCACTATTATGAAAAAGCTACTTGTCATTCCATATGAGTCTCTGAGGACTGCTTCGTGTATCACTGTGACTGCCGTGTGTGCTTAGAGATGTAGACTTATCAGTAGGTAGCCAATCCGGTTTGTTCTGTAGTGATGTTGTAGCGTTTAATGCCATTTTCCCTTCTACACGCAGAGAAAGAGCGAGCGCGTGGCGTCTCAACGGCTGCTCGCGGCGACTTGAAAAAGAAAAAAAGAAGCCGTTTTTAATCGAGCGCGAGCGGGTGGCTTCACGCAGCATTTTGTTGAGCACTGTGCAATACTTGTATGTTCATCCCATAGTGTTGACGTGGGCGGCGTTGCCCGGGAAAAGGAAAGATTCTAACCTAGGAGGATGGTTCGAGTCCAGAGAGACGTTTTCTCGGTTAGGACACAGCACACGTAGATTCAGCGCACAGGTTGGAGCGTGAACACCTGTTGACCTCCGTTTAGGGTTCCCTCCCTTTTGTTCCGCAGGTTCGTTTTCTCTTGTTGCACACAGTTCCAGCATCAGAAGTTTCAGGGAGTATTAGTTTAATACCAATCTTGATTCTACATTCAAATATCCCCTTAAAATGCTGTGTATATATTTACATAATCGTGTCAAAAATGTATATCGAGAATAAATGAATCTAAAGTGACATGAATAGGATTATTCAGCCGCAGATATCTTCATATCATCTATCTATCTAATGCTTTATTTCATTTCCATTTTTGCCTTTTTTTATTTATTAACTGCCCTGTTGATTCACAAAAACCCTTTTATATTTGAAATGAAAACTCTGAATGTACAGTATGGACTGTGTTGGTGTCGATTCCTTTAACCGTGAGATTAGATGTACTTTGCACTTTCTGTTGTTCAATTGTTAAACTATTATGAATTTATTTCATAACCCTTTGGGGTAAAACCTCCCCTGTCGGATAACATTCAAACATCACTGAATATACTTCACTACAGCTGAATTCCCAGATCCCCTTTCAACCTGGAGATTCTTTGATTTGACATTTGTAGATTCATGAATTCCAGAACAGCTTCAGATTTCAATTAGGGAAAAAAAACATTTCAAAGGGAGAGAATTTTAATATTAATGCTTAAAGGTTTTATTAGAGGAACTATCTGATCAAAGCTGGAAGAAATCAAACAGAATGATCACTCAAACTTGTATTGGGAAGTTCTGTGTTGGGCAGCATTGCGGACTGTGAGGTGTGTGGAAACACCACGAAGCAAAAGCCATTACCTGCACACAAAGCAATGCTCCTCTTATTGCAATTTCCTCCCAAAGCATGCACCAATAATCAAACTTAAATTCTCCCCTTGTCAAAAAAATAAAGAAAAACCTCCTTGAGCTCTCTGTGTAACAAAATTCTCTCCAGTGGCGCTGACGAAAAGCCACACTGATCTTTCCAAATCAAAGCTGTGTAAAGTATTAGAATCTGATGCTGTAGAAAGATCCTAGTTGCCTTTGTGTATATCAACTGCCTGCTTGAGTATTTTGTGCGTGGAAATTTTCTCTGTAATCTTGTAGAACTGTTTGGGGTGTTTTTTCCTGCCATATCGCTCGCGGTGACGGCGAGCCGCTGACAGTTATATTTGCTGTGTATACCTTCATTTTTGACAAGGTGTTTTACAGTTTTGTTTCACTTTGTGTAGTGATTCACTCTGTGGAGTTTTCTGACTGTTGTTATATAACTTCATATACACAAATGATCAATAAAAATGTTTTATTTCCTGTTGATACAGAAGCTTATCATGTCGTTCTTTTCAACTACTGTCAAAGTAGCAAAACAGAGCCTGGAAGCGTACCTTAAATAACAAATACAACTCTTATCACTCATCACTAGTATGGTACTGAGTATCTGTGTGCATGGTCTGTATGACAAATAGCCATGATGATGCTTCCTCTCAAATGGCTTTGACTCATTAAGACCAGCGTGTTTACTAAGTCAGCACTGCCATCTACAGGCCAAAAAGGAGCACAGCATTCACAATGGATGACATTGACAAGCACACATTTGTCTACTAAAGCCAGAAGATTAAATCCACCATCAAGTATGTAATGTAACATAGATGTAAGGCTCAGCTGAGGATCTTTATTTATAGATTCAGGTTTCTGCTCCTCAATGAGACTCATTTCAAAGTGAGACAGTCCTCGTGACACATGTACACATACTAAAAATACAAATCTTTAACATCTAATTAATTCCCATGGTTAAATTCACCCTTAAAATTTAAACCAAAATCCACTTTTCGTTCTTGTATTTATTCTTTTTCCATTTGTTCAAGCTCAATTTGAACTACCTGGAAGTAGTGTAGACTGAGTATAAAATAAAAGCCCAGGATGAACTTACATGACTTACCCTGTGTCCAGTTCTATTTTTGTGTCACTTTCTACACTTTTCCTTCAAATATGGTGTCTCAGTTTGAATTAAAGTCCATTCTTCTGAGAAGTTGTAACGCAGGGGTGGGCAACTGGCGGCCTGGGGGCCACATCAACTCGAAACGTGGTCCTCAGGTCATTTTTTACATGTCAATTATTTGGAAACACTTAGTAAACATGACTAAATCTGCCATGAAATCATGAAAATCAGAAATATGTCCATAATAATATTTGACAACTGGTATATGTTAAGATAACTTTGAGACATAATTGACCGTAATTGTTTTTGTATCCTACAATTTGGCCCTCTGGCAGTGAGAATTAAATGAATGTGGCCCCTTGCTGTGACCAAAGTTGCCCATCCCTGTTGTAACGTTACTTTTCCAGAGTTTTATTTAGTGAAAAGCTTTGTTGTGAAAATCCAAAAGGGGTCCATGCGGAAGTGACGTATATTCCTCAGTTTCGTCAAGCTCGCTCGCGTTAGCCTTTCTTGTTAAACATGCATTTGAAATGATATGAGGAACTAAAGTTAATTCACAGGACAAAATATGTTATTCTATGTTATAAGTAAAATTATTCGGACAGAAATATTAAAAATAAAAATAAAAAATAAAAATATTTTTTACCGCCTCTTTTTACACGACACATATCATATCCATAATGCAAATGGATCATCCTTGACAATAAGTGTACTGCATTTATTTAGCTTCATTTTTAGGATGTTTAGGATGGTTGTGTTAATCGTTTGTATGCAATCTAATTTCTAGAATATTCTGCTGGCACTTTCTCAAACCTGACAGACATCCAATAAAATCTCCATACATAATTATAATCTTTGCTTAAAAAAATAAAAAATAAAATAATAATCAAAGCCCCTTTCAAGCACATGGATTTTTCCCTTTATAATATTAAATCTTAAAACGTGCGTATTGTCTGTTATTTCAAAAGTAGTTAAAAAACACTTATTTTGAAGGGCATGACCGGATGTGTTTATCTCTCCTCATAGACTGCAGCTCGATATCGTTGCATGACAGCTCACGCCGCCCTCTCACTGTTGCAGTAAAACTCATCTTGCGCCTGCTTTCTGCATCGACTTACGACCTTGCAGTTGTCTCAACTAACTGAAAATGCTTTCCTACATCATCAGTGTGAGTATATATATTAATAAAAACACGTATTTTGCATCTTTAAACTCCTTTAGCCTCGCTGACACTAGCTTACAGTTAGTTTTCCTACTAAAGTTGAGTTGGGAGCTTCTGTCGGGCCTGCCCACAGGAGCTGCTATGACTCATTTCTTCTGTTGTGGATTAAGCAAAAATGACTTGACTAAAGTTAGACAACGCCCAACTGGGGGGGGAGGGGGCGGGGAGGGGTTCAAACATTAACTTGGGAGCTACTGCTACGTTAGCTGGTGCTAATCTGAGTGGCCCTCTTTGCTTTTTTGACTTCTTCTTCTGTTTTGTGTCACAGCTGATCAGAGGCGGCGTGGACAGCATCATCAACCTGATCTTCAGACTTTTGTTCTCAAAGAGGAGACCTGCCATCACCTTGGAAGACCCCAACATCAAGTATGCACTGCGGCTGCTGGACAAAGAGGTAGAAGTCGTCACAGTGTCGTCTCTGTTTACAAACGCAGCAGGTGCGTTCAGGTGTCTGTAGTTTTCATGCTCTGCTCTTGTGTTGTTTGTTGCAGATTGTCAGCCATGACACGAGGAAGTTTCGCTTTGCACTGCCCTCCCCTGAACACGTCTTGGGTCTGCCCATTGGTAAGTCCTCTTATTTATTAACCTTAACATTCAAAACACACTTCAAGGTTCTCACACACTGTATCCTCAAACATGGGAAACTGTTGACATCTTTTCCTGGACATGGTTAATTGATTTAATATATTTTTTTTACATTTTTTGTTGATTGATTGATTGATTGATTAAATTTATTTCAGACATATCAAATAAAATCAAACATATCAAAAATACAAAACAAAATGAAAAGCACGAAAATACAATAAACAAAAAAACAATGTTCAAATTATTTCACAAAAAAAGAAAATTACATATATTCAACTGATATGCCTGAAAAGGAGTAGGAAGAAGTATAAACTTATTTAATCCTACCCCTTTCCCACAGCTCAATAATTAATATTTATTAAATTAAATTCTGTGTTCCTTATAAGCTATCTATATACAATTTGCTATACTATTATAATTATTATTATTATTATTTATATATTTTTTCCTTCTTAAAGCTCTCCCTCATCCCTGTACCTTTTGAAAATCATTGCTTTGTACATGATTTTAAACTGGATCATGTTTGGACAATGCTTTAGCTCCGTGCTCGTACCATTCCACAGTTTCATACCACCGATTGAAATGATGAGAAATGAATGAGAAGAAAGGAAGTTATCCTGCAAATTTATTCCAAGAATCTCCAATTTTGTGTTATTCAGAATGAACTACGAGACTACCGGCCAAAACAAGACCAATGGCTTTATGTTTAGGATTACTTTTAATGCGTGTAATTCAACTCTGGAGAGTTGGCATGACTTGAAATATTCAACTCTTGAAGCCGTTGCTCAAAGTTTGTGTGTTAAGCGTCATTAAAAAAAACCCACACCTTATTAAACTAATAAAGGTGTCAGAGTACAGTGTGATAACCTGACAAAGAACAGTAGACGATGAAGAACCCTGAACTCTGCGCACAGAGACGTATAAAAGTAAACTTGAACATGTCATGCCCAGAAGTAAAAAAATAAAGATTGGAGGTTGAATGATGATGTGAAGAGCTTTCAAGAAGTTTGAAAAAAGAAAAGATAAAGTTTACATACATACATATATTCTTATTTTAGAGTAAAAGTAAAAAAAACATTGACTTAATCGATCATACAGATGAACCTTTTTGAAAAATTCAAACAGCTCTATCTATAGAGATGATACTAGTGCTTTACTCTACAGTTATTTCTAATGTTAATGTATCTATTGATTTGTTCTCAGTGACTTGTTTGTCTTTAACATGTTCTTAAAAGTGTCGAAAAATCCCCACAACAACAACTCGAAGCCTTCAGAAGATTATTTTTGTCACTTTATTGGCTGAAAACACAAAGATGTTCAAATCATTATCATACATGACATGAGAAAATAAATCGAGTGACTCGGCACATTTCAAAGCTAGAATCAGATCATGAAGTGAATGAAACAGTCGGTTATAGAAGTAGTTGATTGTAGACATAGAACATATCTGATGTGAAGCTGTTGACATTAAAAGTGTAAAGATGAATCTTTTTTTTTTCTTTTCAGGGCAGCACATTTATTTGTCTGCAAAAGTAGACGGGAAACTTGTCGTCCGTCCGTACACGCCCGTGTCCAGCGACGATGACAAAGGCTTTGTGGATCTGGTGGTGAAGGTATAAAGTCGAGGAGAAAAATGTCCCTGTGCTTCTAAAAATCAGTTCTTGTTTGTTTCTGATCCATTTATTTTTCTGCACAGATTTACTTCAAAGATGTCCATCCTAAATTCCCTGAAGGCGGGAAGATGAGTCAGTACCTGGAGAGCCTCAGGATCGGCGACACCATCGACTTCAGGGGACCCAGCGGCCTCCTTGTTTACAAAGGCAGAGGTGAGACACATAACCCTGACCTCTTCATCGAGGACGTGGCAGGATGCAGGAGTTTGTACTCGGCTATGATTCTAACAGAGCTTCTGATGATCTTCTCTCCGCAGGTGTTTTTGCCATTCAGCCAGAGAAGAAGGCCCCGGCTGAGATCAAGACGGCCAAACACGTGGGCATGATTGCTGGGGGGACAGGTAAGAGGACCTTCTTCAGCCAGGAAACTCACACAGCTCATCGAATGATCAGTTTAGTGAGAACATGGCGGCTTAATTCTGCAGATTCATCTTCTACCCTTTAAATTCATTCACGATTACAGACTGCAACTTTTGATGAGATTAATTAAAGATCAATCAAGTTTTTTTCCCCCCCCTAAATATCAGCTTCCGTATCTAAGCAGTTATATTATCTACCAGCAGTCTTAAGAGATGCAGCACCTTTCTCTGTGCTGGTTTTACTGGTTTGAAGTGGGAGGAGCTTAGTTGTGTTGTTGGGTTGCTGTCAACATATCTGATCAAACCGAACCCACAGACGCAATCCTTAGGAAGCAGATGAGTGGAGTTTAAGCGTGTGTGTATGTGTGTATGTATCTAATGCCTAAATGCTTATATCAAAGTTTTAGATTTACAACATATTAATTTCCCCTGTTTCTTTATAGACTCTAAATTCAATACTATCAACCTTTGAATCGATTATTAATGAGTCTGTTTGCCATGTCACCGTAAGCATTATCATGTTGGTAGAAGCACTGGTTTAATCACACAAAAATAAAGAACAAATGGACGTCTGCATTCTGTCAGCCACATGAGTCATTATTTGTTTGAAGCTGGAATGATGAATTCCTTCTGTTTAAAAAAAAAAAAAGAGCAGTAACAAACCCCCGTCTTCACACAGGAATCACTCCCATGTTGCAGCTGATCTCGGCTGTGATGAAGGACCCTCAGGACACCACAGTGTGCTACCTGCTGTTTGCCAACCAGGTCAGTGTTCATCATAGAAACAGTGCGTCTGTGTACAATGAAGCAGGAAACCATGGAACCAGAGCAGCGCTGACATTTGTTCACTTCCTGTCCTGCCACAGACTGAGAAAGACATCCTGCTGAGACCAGAGTTGGAGGAGATCCAGGTGAACAACCCGGACCGCTTTAAGCTGTGGTTCACCGTGGACAGAGCGCCTGCAGGTACGCTTCCTAACGTTCACATATTCACTTAAAGAGGAGAGAGTGTGAGATAGTTTGATACTGCGGCTCTGGGGCGTGGTGGGCTCGTTCTGCACTGTGGCTTCAGATAATCATGTGGCTGATAAGAAAAGAGGCCTCATTATGCGGAGAATCATGTGATGCTTTCATTTAGGGTTTTTGGGAAGCTGCAGACGAGTCACATATTAAATAGACTTGTTGCTCAAAGCAAACCTTAACAAAACATGACAACATCTACATTTCTGCAGTTGTCTTAATGGTTACATTAATCTGAAACTATTTAATAATTCATTTTTATTAACTCTTTATGAAATGCCTTTGATAGGAGCGACATGTTTACCTACTTCCTGAAGAAATATACACCACACAATCTGCAAATGACCACTGCTGAAAATCATGAGCTGTAGTACTGTGTCAGAGTCAATGAATGTAAATGTCCTGAACTCAAACCGTGTTTACATTGGTTGTAGCTGAATGAGGAGCTACAGGTTACAAGCCGCCAGAGTTGGGTTGTTTTTTAACGTCCGGGCACGTTGCGTGTTTCAGACTGGGAGTACAGCCAAGGCTTCATCAACGAAGACATGGTGAGGGAACACCTGCCACCTCCGGGCGATGACGCCCTCATCCTCATGTGTGGACCGCCACCTATGATCCAGTTCGCCTGCATCCCGAACCTGGACAAAGTGGGACACTCTGCCAGTCAGAGGTTCGCCTTCTAGACGCCGGCCCACCCCGAAGAATTGGAGGTTTGGGGATTACAGAGGGTGTTCAGTTATTATTTACTCTGCCCTGAAACATTAATGCACTCGTACAGTCACAGTGGGGTTTTGCACTATGTATACTACTATATTTACGCCGTGATATTTGTGTGCAGCGGAATCATAGCAAGGACCAATTATGTGTGATCGGGAAGTGTAGCAGAAGGGCGGGAACATGCGTTATGTTTGAGCTTTAACAGGAGGAGTTCTGTGATGAATAATGGAAAGACACGTTCGGCTTGTTGGCTTGAAAAATTCAGATGTGATTCAGAAAGATGTTGCAAACAAACCCTGCTGTCCTGCTGTGGCCTCAGTTTGCCTCAACGATCAGAGGAGTCGAGGTCTCCTGGCTGTTTTCTGAGTGCCTTAACACATGCAAAGCTTTTTTTTTTTTTTTTTTTATGCACAGATAAAGAATTGTGATCATCACTTGCTTTGATCTATACTGAATTGTACTGTTGCATTACTGCTGTTGAATATTTGTTACAGAGTCCAGACGTCCATCTGTTTAGTCAGAGATATATTTTTGCTTAAAATTGTTAACGGTGGTTTGTAACGCGGCAAGTCTGGCAACAGTGGCTACTTGTGGTTAGATATGCAACATAAAAAAAAAAAAATCAACTGCTATCGAGTCTGAGATGCTTTGGTAATCATTTCCTGTCAAAATGTTTGGAAAGATCTCACTGTGCAACCTTTAAAACATCCTCATATACGTGTGTTGAAGCATCGCCCCAAGGTGCTGCAGAAACTGAACACAATGGAGGGGGAATAAATCATTTTCTTCTTTTTTTATTACAAAACAGTTAAAAACAACGACTTTGGTTTCCATGTTAACTTTCCATCATGCTGTTTCTTGAAGAGATAGTGGAACATTTGGAGAGAAAAGCTCAGGGGTTAATGAGAGGATGAGAGGTGTCTCTGTTAAGTACAGGGCTATAACCAGGAGTTGATTAGCTTAGCATAGAGACTGTAAGCAGAGTGAAAAGCTTAGCCTGGCAGCACCTCTAGAGCTCACTAAGAAACACGTCTCACTTATTTAAATCAGAACAAAAATAAGGAAAACAAATTGTGGTTTTAGGGGGAGTTTTGTGTTTCAGCTTTCAGATAAAACTGAAGAGAGGAGGCGTGTTAATCAGTCGGCTTTAGAGACGGCCAGGCTAACTGTTTCTGTCTGTCTTAATGCTAAGCTTATGAGCTCCTGGCTGAAGCGTCCATCTTTAAAAGCACAGACACAAGAGTGGGATCAATCCCCTCGTCTACTGTAGGTCTGAGACAGAACACCAAAAGCCTTTTTTTGTTTGTTTTCATCCAAAACATTTAGTCTCATGTTCTCTGCTGGTTTGTCGCCATGCAGATAGTTTTCTGCTCACCTCTGAAATGTTTAACAACAATACTATGAAGGTAAATAAAAACAAGAGCCCGGTATTAGCAGTAGTCTTCACAGGACAAACACAATCCCATAGACGTCTCAGAGGGATTTTAAAAACCTGGACAAACAGTGTGTTTGCATCTAGAAACCAAAAACAGGTCAATGAGAGAAAAATGTCCTCGTATTTGAAATCTTCAAAGTTTCACAAAGCAACTTCACGTACCACAAATAAAACAGAATCCGACCGCAGCTGAGGACATTAAAACTCCTTAAATTGACCAGTATGCTTACCTCAATCTTTACCACACCAATGGCTGAATAATAAAAAATAAATGCAGAAAGAGAAATTCAAATCCTGCATCTGTTCATGCATTATACGTTTGGCAGCTTCAATAAATATATGTGATCAAAAAAGCTCTGGCTGCTCTTCTGAATGATTAAAAACACCGTAAAAGGTCTCACATGTTGTACTTTAAAGGTTGGTCGGCTTGTTTTTCTTGGCTCAGTTTGTCAACATCAAATGCAGCCGGAGTTCTCTGTCTCTGCAGTGTCGACCTCTGGAGGGCAGGCGGAGATCTCCTGGAAAAACTCATCGTCCTTCAGCATGCTCTGAAACACAAACAGCACCGCAGAGACTCGTGTTTGTCCTTTTAACGTCACTTGTTTGTGTTGAATCATCGAGGAGCGGATCAGCGTCTCACCGTCAGATTGTTGATTTCCTCTGAAAACACTCCGATCTGTCTCACGGTCCCTTCAGAGTCTTCCATCTGCAGAATCAAACAAACAAAGAGGCTCAGGAGAGACATGGATCGCAAACCAGCTCGTCAGGAATGCTTCAGCTGACAGCCAAAGTAGCTGTTTGATAAAAGTCTCCAGGTACCTGTTCCAGGTGTTCTAAGTTTTCCTCATAAATCTGGACCCCCCTGTGGAAGCTGCTGCTCTTGGGCATTTCCACGTTCATGGGGCAGACGTACTCCTCGCCGTCGTCATGACGTTTCTTTCTCAAAGATCCAAAACCACCAAATGACAAGCGCCGAGGCTGGGGGAGGAAACCAGAGAATATTAGCAGCGGGCAAACACGAGCTTGTTCAGTAGTTTGCACAGAGGTCAAGAACAACAGAAACAATGTGTTCATTATGAATTCACAGGATTGATCACGAATCCATTTTCAATGTCCTCGTTTTATCTTTGAAGTTTTTGAATGTTTGGTCGGCTATCGTTGAGTGTTTTCAAACACTAGTTGAGTTAGAAAGAATAGAAAAGTGACGACATATTAATGTTTATTATGAGGCTGCAGCAAAGGAGGGGATTATCTCAGTTTAGGTTTATCGACTCCAAAAGAAAAACGGGTGGAGATTTGTTTTTAACAAGTGACAGGCAGCACTCACCTTGACCTTGGCGGTGGCCGTGAGGACGCTGTAGTCTGGGTTTTCCAGACAGTCCTGTTTGAGCCGCTGAGCCTCGGAGCCCACGAGCAGTTGGAAGTGTGTGGCCAGGTGGCGTCGCAGCAGGGTTTTGTTGGGAGGAATGTTGAGCAGGAGGGCGAGAGCTTCCACGTTGAAGCGAGGCTCCAACACCTTCAGAGCGGCGTGCAGACGTTTGAGAAAACAGACAAAACACAGAAGACTACAAATAAACAAGCGGGGTTTTTTTTTCTAATCCTTAAAGGTCATTAAATTAAGTCAAGTGTGCATTTACAGAGCAGATTTACAAATTTACAATTTTTTTTCAACTCCATTCATCCTTTTAAAAGTCGTGTGTGAGAACATACTGTATACCTGGTCATGATGTATCAGTAGTCACTTAACATGTGTATTTTATTAAGTCTTTTATTTCCCCACTGGGTTTGATCCATCTGTCTTACCATCAGCCCTCCGTGAACTCCGCTGCCCCTCAGATTAGGAGCGTACTCTGCCAGATCCACAGAGCGGAGCCACTCCATCACTCGGTGGTTTGTCCACTGGGAGATCTCAGCCGGTGTGATGTTGTTCTGGAACAAGACGAGGGAATATGAATACAAATTTAAGAGGCAAGGGCATGAAAAAAGAAAGAAGAAGCTAACAGATCATGACTTCTTCTCTGATACCTCATCAGAGGGTCGTCTCCTCAGACAGTTGGGTTCGTAGGAGTTCAGGCGGAGGACCTGAATGGCCCTCTTGATGCTGAGGTGATGGAGAACACTGCCCACCTTCAGAGACAGCAGGTCGTCCTGGGGAAACCAAAGAGTCGTCACAAAGTCTGCTGAATGATTTATTCAGAGAACAAGTTCATTCAGAATGCAAAAAGATGATCAGGAATGAAAAATTCTCATCACTTCAAAGTTTTACAAGCTTCCATGCAGGCTGCAGTGACTCACCACGGTCATGTAGTGCAGCATGCGTCCATCAACGAGAGCCTCATCAAAGTGGCTTTTGTACTGCGGGAGGCCGATGTCATCCAGCCACCCTGGGGGGGGGGAATAGTATTTTATCTCAATGAAGAGTAATACTGTTGTTTAATGAAACTAAGATGTCTTGACACTCACTGGTCACCCAGTTGTGGTCCAGTCTGCCCTTCAGGTCGTCCTCGTCTGACCCCAGAGCCTGCAGAGCAAGCTGCAGCTTCTTCTTGTGCAGCGGCTGCTTCATGCACAGCTCCTGAGCAGGAAAACAGAGAAACAGAAACACACACACACACACACGGAAGACTCTTACAAACACTCGAAATATCAGGGTATAAAAAAAAATAATTCTATATTCAAAAGTTTAAGAATATTATCCCTCAAGCGTAACATGCCCCTCACCTTCTCCAGGTCGTGTTGCGACGCCTGCAGCAGAGTTTGTCCTGACTTGATCCAGCTCTGACCCTGGGCCACATACAACCCGAAGCCCTGCTCATGCAGCCACCCGCAGACTTCCTCCTTACTCCAGCGAGAGAAAGGAACATCGACAGCACTGACAGGGACAGGGGAGGAATACTGATTACAGGACATGCGCTTGTAATTACCAAATTTAAATAGAAAGAATAAAAAGGTCATGGAGACATAAAGAGGCTGCTGTTGCTGACTTTGACACGTACTTGTGTTTTGGTTCACGTGACCAGCCAAGTCGCGGTCCAGCTGTGGCTCTGACTCCGCCCCTCCTGAACTCCATCTCCGCATCATCGAGGTTGAAGGTGGTAGAGTGACTCCTTTTTAGTCTGCAAGAGAATCGCAACACAAATAAACAAAAAAAAACGATCGTCTTACATGACCTTAAGCTCCACTGAAAGAGCCGTGAAGTTACCTGCCAAAGAATTTCCTGAAGCCTTTGGACTTCTTTTTGGTTTCGGGGGAGGACGGCAGGGGAGATGCATCATGGGATTTTCGCGGAGGAACGCCCGCCAGGTCCAGGTGCTCTGTGCCTTTACGTTCCGTCTCGGCTGTAGAAAATTAATTTATTCAACTTCAATATGATGATAAATACACGTCTACAAGGCTGAACCATGCAGATGATTACCCTCTTCCTGTTCTTCTAGAGAAACCCAAAGAAGCACCACCGCTACCCAATGTTAATCTAAGAACATTTAATTTTACAAGAATCCTAAAACTGATATCCCCCATGCAAAACCAGAGACTAAATACTAACACACAACTGGCAGATTTTCTCATTTACTGCAAATGAGAATGGCTTTGGTGCAGATGGTTTAAGTCATGGATAAGGGACAGCTGGACAGAAGCACCTCACTCCAGAGCACAGATTTAAAAAAAGAAAAAAGAAAATTCCAACCTTTTTTCACACTTTCTAAACATGCAAACTGTGAGGGGGAAAAAGCTTGGGAGCCGCCGCTTTAGAGAAAGGTTGAGTTAAAGTTTGTAAGAGAACAGAATGACAGAATGTGATCATCACATTTACAGTTAAGGATAAATGATCACATTTCAAAGTCAGTCTCGATTCACGTCCAGCTGTACGATCCAGAGCAGCCATACTGCAGGCCAACACGCCCTCTCTGCTCTACTTTTACCTAACACAGGTGCACTGACACTCCGGCTGCGGTCTTCACAATTTACGGAGCCGTGAAAGAAACATGACGGTCAGTGACAAAAGCCATATGACACATCTCAAAAATGGGTGAAAAAATGTGAGAAATTTCAGGACACGGTGTCAGTTAGCGGCCCGCTCTCACCGAGGTTCGGAGAGCTCGCCGCCTGCTTGCCTCCTCGCAGCTTGAAGAAGCCACGGCCGAAAGAGGAACGAGTCTTCTTGGAACCAAAACTGTCATCGCTTGCTTTGGTGGGGGGTAAGGATCCGGATCCCGTTTTTAGTTTGGCCTTTTTAAAAGAATTAATGGAAGTCAAGGAATGGACAAACAAAAGAGAAATGTAATTCAAGCTGTAGGAGGTAGTTGCATCATTTAACCACTAGGTGTCAGAGAAAGACTTAAGAGCATGACAGGGTGAAGGTCCTGTGACTACATGAGGAATAACTCC